ACAAGAGAAAAGGATTAGTCTGTTGAACGCACTATTTTGGAATTAATATCAAGCTTTCACAAGGTCATATTTGTTTTCAATACTGATGAGAATAAGGATGATTACTCTATTTTTGGTAAATATTTATCATTTGACAGTTAAAAAGTGCTTGTAAATCGGACTTTACATCGCGTAAAATCAAACCGTACGTGCATCGCCACAGCGCATGTTGTTTAGAACTAGGGTTACCCAACGGGGAAATTTAGTGTGTATATTACCCGTCTGGCTCGGTAATATCAATTTCTTTCGGGTGATCAATACCCAATCAAAAAGGCGAGGAAAATCTGGAAGGGTAATAAAGGGCCATATAACCTGTCAACAATCTTTATAACTAATAATATAGAAGCATAGCGTTAAAGCGCGCTAATGTAAGCGTTACACTTTAGGCGCGTCATTGAAAAAAAAACTCATTTTAACAGTTTACTGTTCTTATTTCATATATGTGATTATATGTGATAAATAGAATATTATATTCGTGTAGATTCAATACTAAATTTATTGAACTCGTTGAATAAAACAATATTATGCTCGCCAGAGGCTCGCATAATATGATTTTATTCAACTCGTTCAATGAATTTAGTATTAAGCAACACTCATTCAATATCCTCTTGCATGTATACTTTATCCTGCATTCTGCAATTTGGTACAAACAGCAGGCTAGAGAGTAAAGTAGGGAAACAATTCAATTACAAAACATGCAAAGTTATATTGCCTGTCTACTTTTATTTCAATTTAAATTCGAAAATGAATTCATCCTGAAATATGTGCTAAAGATGGTATTTAAATGTTATTTAAGATCAGACATTGCTGAAAAAAATGTTAAAGGCCCATTATGTACCAGAAATATTTTTTTCTAAGAAGCTTTAAATTTCTATTTTTGGTGTCGTGTGAATAGTATCCAAACTGTGTCTCAATGGCGAAATACCTGAGTTATCGTGTTTCTGTTGTTTTTTGGCAAATGGTACAAATAGCGGTTACGTATTTTGAATGCAAAACAAATACTACTTTGTTAACATTTTGCTACTTTAATGACAAAGAATTTCCCATTGAGCTTAACTTTCTTAAAGTTAGTGACAAGTATCTTACATGCTCTAAAAATATTTGTCTTTTCTGAAGATGCAAAGTCCAGAGTTTCCGAGGCATAATGCGCCTATAAAACACTGTTATTCCAGTTTTAACCAGCAATTTAACGATTTATATTCAAAATTATGACTTATATGACATACAAATATAATCATAAAGAAAATTTCAATTTCATTTCACGAATCGTATGTATGTTGTTTCTTCATGCCACAGATTGTTGAGATGTCAGTTATGCATTCATAATAGCAGCGTTGTGAACTTCGGACCGCGGGACAGCACATTCCTCTGAATAAAAAAAAACAAACGCAAAATTGAGCAGCGTCACGACAAAACCAACATAGTGCGTTTGCGACCAGCATGGATCCAGACCAGCCTGCGCATCCGCGCAGTCTGATCAGGATCCATGCTGTTCGCTTACAAACCCTATTACAAGTAGAGAAACTGATAGCGACCAGCATGATCCTGATCAGACTGCGAGGATGCGCAGGCTGGTCTGGATCCATGCTGGTCGCAATCGCATAACGTTGGTTTTGTCATGACGCGGCTCATTAATGGTATTGTCCAAAATAGAAAATGCGAGTACATGTAAAAACCATTACAGCAGTTTACATATACAACAGTTATTGACAGAAAGGAAACTATGTAAAAGAGCTATAAATATAATAAGGCCAAATCACGGAGTCCCCCCCCACACACACACACACCTACACTCACACACATCCGCCTTTATTCTTTCTCTCATTTGAATTTGTTTGCTTTTGAATTATAGAATTTCATGTCTTACACTTTTTCTATAACTATGAAGGAAATTAACTAATACACTTTTATTTCTATTTAGCTACGCTCATTATGCGATACTATTTTATCATGATAGGAAACGCTGAGCAATGATTTTGCTTAAGCCCCATGTACACAGTCCCGGTTTGGCATCCCGGTTTGCCACGGTTTTGTCCACCGCGATCACCTGTGGTAAACCGGCTTAGGGCCGTAGCGATTCCGTGAAGTACCGGGACAAACTGTGGTGAACCGGGACAAGCCGGGAGATCGCCACGGTTGTATTAAAATGTTTAATATAGCCGGGGCTCACCAGCACATAAGGGAAGGAAGCCTAGAACCGTGTTATGTCGGCTTGGCATCGGGAATCGCCGTGGAACCCCCGTAGCTATACCGCATCCAAACCGTGACAAACAGTGGCAAACCGGGATGCGTGTTAATCAATGGCATAGTCCCGGTGATGACACGAGGTCGCCACGGTAAAAACAGGCAAAGCTACGATAAAGTCAGGGTGCATTGCGATTATTGGCGACAACACTTCGGTTTGACCCGACAATGTCCCAGATACTGTCGTCTAGTCACGGTTATACAATGATAGATGGTGGCGTCACGACCACATGTGATAACATATACATGTGTATACACTTGAAGTGCTACTTTGGATCATTTTGTTTTCTTCTTCACCTTTCCATTTGGTGGCATCTCTGCTGTCTTTTTATCAAATGTCAAATGGCAGTTTTATTCTAATAACTGTGAACCGGGAAGCATCGGTGCATTACCGGGGTGTCACTCTGGCAGTATCGGCATCATCAAAAGCGTTAGCGTGGCGAAATCAGCAATGGTCGGGATGGACCGTGATGAAACCGTGTATAGTCGGGTTTCCACCGGGATCAACCTGAAATACACCGGGTTACCATCGGCACTTGCCGAATAAATCCGGTGCTATATCGGGTACTGAACCAGGAATACACCTGGGCTATGTCGGGGATGTGTAAACGCAATTTGATTTTTGTTTTTCAGAAAAACACCACGGAACACTCGGGTTCACCAGTTTAAGACGCCGTAGCGATACCATGGCCATTATCGGGACAGTGTAAATGGGACTTTCAACAAAGATATACATCCTGAGATAAACCCCTACCTCCGCGCCAAACCCAGTTCACCTGTGGGTGAGTGTCGTCCTTAAACTTTTGACCGAAACAATTTATCATTGATCTTTCTATTTCGCTCCATGGAATGTCATTTAGCTTGAGTTGCCCCTCTGGAACACCGTCCCCACCAAGGTTCCAATCTCTCTCATCCTTGTGAAAAATACATGATAAAATAAGTATTTAAAAACAGTTTCTAAGTAAAAATTCAGTTCAATTGAAAATGTAATCAAGATAGCGTATAATAGCATAAAAGCATTTGCTTTTTATAATTTAAAACAAATAAAAAATACCCTAATTTCTTGTAAAACAAATAAATAAGCGCGTAGTAAATTAAATGGATTTTTAAAATACAGTGTACTATTCATTGTCCCCCTGCTTTATTTAGGTATGAAATCAAGATTAATAAAAGTATAAAGCGAATCTCCATAATCATGGGATTATATTCTGATATGAAATAAAACGAAAGGCCTTCTATAGTTATGTGCATATCTTTTCCTTGATCATGTTAGCACATATATACTTATTTATTGAGAAATAATTCATGTACCTTAACAAGTAATATTACTATTCCAAGAGGACATCTGCCGTCTCGTTGGTTTAGCGCCTCATAGCAGAAGAAATATAAGAGGTATTTACTAGGATAGGAGCTTACCACATAGTCCTCTCTTGCAGGAAATAGAAGAGAATTACCTGGAATTATTAATTAATGTTTCTTTATATAACTTTTATTTGTGACAAAGCTTTCAGCCAGCGTACAGAACGTCTCAGGTGCCAGTTTGTGCCTGAAACAATGTACAGTGGGGCACCTGAGGTCTTGCTCCACCAGTAAAGCTGAAGAAACACCCTATGACCTATACTGTGTTGGTGCGACGTAAACCGTAACCAAAAAATACAATATTTTTTACTCATTATTAAAATTGAAAGTTGATTATTGTTCTGGAATGACAAAGGTAAGGAAGCATGGTGGGGAAATTCTTTATTTCTTTATAAATGTTATTTGAATTTGCATTGTATGGTATGAAAGATTTCAGCATTGGTAACATTGACCAAAGTATGATTTTGAAATTAAGCAGTTGGTAAAAAAATAAATGTTTTACCTGTTCTAGGTCGAAAAACAGCCTTTCCGTCACGTACACGCTGTTCTGTTCCCCATATATATAGGCACTGGTTCAGAGCTTCTACTCTGTAAAAATCAAATTGTTTGAAAATATATTAAGTCGTAAGAACAAGAGATCTCACGCCGAATACCATTTTAGTGGATAAAGTTATTGTCCGATTGAAGAATAAAAAAATGTAAACAATAGACGTGTGTCTTAATCTGTTTGTAAAACATGGACAGTAATTGCTGATGAAAGTCATCAACCAAATTTAATCAAATTTCTTGGGCAGACGTATAAAAGCAACGTGTATAATACTCTAAGAAGTGAGAGACTTGCAATAGATTTTCGCGTTGCACATATGAAAATATGGATTGTGAAAATACACAGCAATGTGGGATACATATATATTCACGAAAAACGAGCACAATTTCTTTTTATTTGTCGGCCAGAATATTCTTTTTAAAGCAATGTTTCCATGGTAGCGATATTAAGAAGGTGACATGTAAGACGCTCAACGCCGCAGGTATAAAAATAAGTAAGTCAAGTTAATAGTTACTTTGCGGTGTAACTTTTAAAACTTTTTGATATCAAGTAAAGTTTAAGAAAATTAAATCGTGAAATATGACTTTACAAACAAAATACAACAATTTAGCGTGTTTGAAAAGTTACAAATTTACGAAATTATACAAATAAAAATGTACGGATTAGACCGTAGATGAAATACTCTGAATTTTTACAGATAAAACCCGGTATACCATTGGTTCGCATACTTATTACCTCAAAAATTACGTCAGATATAAAGTTATTAAACCATATAACAAACCGTATACTGGCATCTCGTCTAATGTGCGTATCATTGACCAGATTCCAATGTTATAGCCCCTGGAAAAAGTGCATCATCATCATCTATATCGTAGATGTCCAGCCAGTTTCTACCAACAACCTATTATAATACAAAGATAATAATAATAATAAAAATGTTAAAAATAATAATAATTATAATACACCTAAATTGTGAAAAATGAAACAAAGACCAAGAAGAAAGATAATTACTGATATTTGAACATTTAGTTGCCATCATCATTTTTGTGTATACATGTATATTAACTATGGAATGTCAAATGAATATCCAAATAACATGTACTCGCAATGTCTGAATAACAATATTATAATCAAAAGATAAGTGACTCAATGGAGCCAGTTAACTTAAATAAGTACTGGTGTCTTCTTTTCAAAATTGCATATAAGTGCATATCTTTGTTAGAAAAAAAGGCAAATCGTATATGGGAAACGTTACATAGCTATTCATAGGAAAGTTACATTATGGTTAAAGACTTGGAAAAAGAACCAGTAAAAAACATACAGTAACTCTAACGCGGTACCACCTTTTAAATGGGCATGCCATATCAATCTTTCAATATGGACAAAATCTTATATCAATTGTTTTATCAAAAATTTCAAAAACACGTAATATAGGCAATGGACATGTCGGCTGATCTTGGACTGCACTAACTGCATGGATATAATCAGTTCCCTCGTGGTAACATCAGTTATCTCATGGATAGAATCAGTTACCTCATGGGTAAAATCGGTTACCTCAATGGTAGAATCAGTTACCTCATGGGTAGAATGAGTGACGTCATAGATAGAATCAGTTACCTCATGTATAAAATCAGTTGCCGCTAGGCAGAATCAGTTACCCCTTAGGTAGAATCAGTTACCTCAAGGGTAGAATCAGTTACCTCATGGGTAGAATCAGTTACCTAATGGGTAGAATCAGTTACGTCATGGGTAGAATCAGTTACCTCATGGGTAGAATCAGTTACCTCATGGGTAGAATCAGTTACCTCATGGGTAGAAACAGTTACCTCATGGGTAGAATCAGTTACCTCATGGTAGAATCAGTTACCTCATGGGTAGAATCAGTTACCTCATGGGTAGAATCAGTTACCTCATGGGCAGAATCAGTTACCCCTTAGGTAGAATCAGTTACCTCATGGGTAGAATCAGTTACCTCATGGGTAGAATCAGTTACCTAATGGGTAGAATCAGTTACGCCATAGATAGAATCAGTAACCTCATGGATACTAGTAGAATCAGTTACCCCTTGGGTAGAATCAGTTACCTCATGGGTAGAATCAGTTACCTCATGGGTAGAATCGGTTACGTCATAGATAGAATCAGTAACCTCATGGATATTAGTAAAATCAGTTGCCGATTGGGTTGAATCAGTTACCTCAAGGGTATAATCAGTTACCTCATGGGTAGAATCGGTTACGTCATAGATAGAATCAGTAACCTCATGGATACTAGTAAAATCAGTTGCCGATTGGGTTGAATCAGTTACCTCAAGGGTATAATCAGTTACCTCATGAGTAGAATCAGTTACCTCAAGGGTAGAATTAGTAACCTCATAAGTAGAATTAGTTACCTCATAAGTAGAATCAGTTACCTCATAGATAAAATCAGTTGCCGCTTCGGTAGAAACAATTACCCCATGGTTAGAATCACTTACCCCATGGGTATGATAAGTAACCTCAAGGGTAGAATCAGTAACCTCATCGGAGAATCAGTTACCTCATATGAAGAATCAGTTACCTCATGGATAAAGTCAGTTGCCACTTGGGTAGAATCAGTAACCCAATGGGTAGAATCAGTACCTCAAGGGTAAAATCAGTAACCTCATGGGTAGAAACAGTTACCTAATGGGTAGAATCAGTAACGTCATAGATAGAATCAGTAACCTCATGGATAAAATCAGTTGCCGCTTGGGTAGAATCAGTTACCCAATGGGTAGAATCAGAAACCTCAAAGGTAAAGTTAGTTACCTCATGGGTAGAATCAGTTACCTCATGGATAGAATAACTTACTTCATGGATAAAATCAGTTACCTCATGGATAAAATGAGTTGCCGCTTGGGTAGAAACAGTAACCTCATGGGTGGAATCAGTGACCCCATGGGTAGAATCAGTAACCCCATAGGTAGAATGAGTTAACCCATAGGTAGAAGCAGTTATAGTATTCCCCTAGTCTTCCCCGTGGGTACCGCGTCCTTGCCCATTCCGATGTAATCAGACAATTTGTTTCTTTACACATTGAATGCCACCAAATACTGTTTCCACCATTAAAGTGAAAGTGGGAGTGCTCCTTTTTGTGAATTTGGATAGAAATTGTTAGAATTTTTTTCATTTCAAATAAATTCTGTCATTGATAGGAAAATCCAAAGTTGCCTGTGTGTGCTGAAAAAACTTCTTTACTTTACCCCATATTTAACGGTTAAACTTATAATTTCATATTCCGACAAGTGAAGGTCGTCTGCTGAAACTGTAGTCAGCATATTCTGTTACAAAAAAATATACTGAAGCCAAAAAAGGGCCATCAATTAACATACCACGGTACCATAGTGCTCTCCGTATAACCTCCCATTCTAAACATGGCTGACGGACCATAGATGTTTCTAATTAAAATCATTGAGTTATTCTATGAATGACATGTGTATTTTAAAGTCAAGATGCGACAGCTAAACACAATTTAATAAAATAGTAAATATAAGTTCTTTTTATTTGTACAATTTGTTGGAAATAATAAGAACAGTGGCACCACAGGGGACCATCCTACCTCATGGATAAAATCAGTAACCTCATGGTTAGAATCAGTTACCTCTTTGGTGAATCAGTGACCTCATGGATAAAATCAGTTGCCGCTTGGGTAGAATCAGGTTAATGGTTCATTAATACAGGGACCGAATAACTAGTTTACCAGGTTCACTTTATGCATGCACGGGTATGTGGTAATGACCATTATGCCTTTTATTTTTAGATCTATTTGAATTTTAGTTATACTGAACGAGTCCACAAATTTAAGTTCCCATAAAAATGTTCTTTGTGACAAAACCACGAAATTTCATGCCTACGAAATTAAGTGATTTCACATTATTTAGCGTAAATTAATTATACTCACGTGCTCTTTAAACTGGTCCCATGATATAATACATTCATCCGGAGGTATCCGTATACCTATCTCGTCTGCTTTCTGCTCATCTTCCGGACTAATTGTTACTTTCTCGGGCGTAGTTCCTGGCTCACTGGTCGTGGTAAACGGCGGGTAAACAGTGGGATATCGAGGTATATAGTTTGATTGTCGTCGAAAATGTTGAATACTTCCACCATGTTGGTAAAGGTCGTGGTAAATGCCGAAAGCCGGTTGCATCAGCAGGAACAGCAAAGCCACAAACATGTTTCTAAAACTGATTTTTGTCTTTTTAAGCCTGCAATCATTCGCATATTCAATATGAAAATATAGGACAAATAAAAAAAAACATCAGCGAAATTGTCTGCTATAAATAGATCTATATATTATATTGATCTTGTATGCAGTACTAACCAGATACAGATACAGACCTTTCAATATACACCAATTCACTTTAATACATTATCCGAACTGTCTTTTTTTTTCAAAATAGCAATTACCTCTGACTGATAAGTGATGGTTTATATAAAACTGGGTACTGGATATTTTTTGTAATGCTCAAGTTAAGTTATAAAAAAGCTACCCTTAGCGCACAGGCTATTCTAACTTATCATGCAAATATGCATTAAAGCAGCTTTCCACTTTTATTTTCTGTTGGAATAGCAATTCTGATTGTTTCAAACCAAATATTTCAGTAATTTTATCTTTACTTGGAGCTTAAAAACAGCGTCCTGAGAGTTATCTATAATTAACGAGTCAGTGATTTCGTAATTTAAATATAGAGGGTGGACAGGTTATCAGAGGTTACGATGGGTTTCCTTATTGTTTATGTATTTACCATCGGCAAATTTCATTTTCTACCTGAATTATTTTATTTGACTAGCGATTTACCTAAAAATAGCATAATATTACATTCAGAAAAGTGAAGGCCGCTTTAAAGGCCCGTACTGATAACAAGGAGATAATATGAAAAAAATATTCGTGATTCTACACGTAAATCAGTTATACATTCTTAATTATCAAGGTTATCTTCATATTTATCTAATTAGTACGATAATTCAGAACAATTAGGTAAATGACACTTCTAGATATTTTCAAACTTTTTTCTTAAAAGTTTCCTACCTTTTTACTACTCTATTATTTTCATACCAAGAAAACGAGATACATCCAATTTATCTGAACATATACTTGCATAGACTGTTATATAAGTTTACACATAATATCTTATTCCGCTATTTTAATTAAAAGTGCAAACACATTTTATTTTACATTTCCGCTACTTTGGCTTGTGGTTATGTTGCGGCATCTTCCTTTTTGATTACCTTAATACACTTACACATTTTTTTTGCAACAACATTCCCTTGAACTATTTTAAAGAGAAATTAATGTTTTTCTTTCTGTACGAAATCTGCTGTGGTCATAGTATTATTTTTACAAAAGCTTAAGCTCTTAAATTTGGTTTGCTATTGCAAATCATGGTCATGCAACTACATAGTTAGGTAAAGAAGCAGACGCTTGTTTTGGTTGAGTCTATTATGTTTTGTTTAGGGGGTAAATGTCATACACAAATTTACAATTTATATGCAATTATTTTTTTCCAATGATTGTTATTATCTTCTGGGATCGTTGTTTTATCAATTCGTAAATAAGATTATTATATGTCTATTAACGGAATAATTTTAATGAACACGAAATTAGTTCACACCTACATTTTGAATTGCAAGTATTTTTTCATATCTTTTCGGCAGGATAAACTGTCCGAATGTATGTAATATTTTTTCTTGTTACATATATATTAGATAATTATGTGACAGCACATGCAACTCGATGTGAACTACTGACACATTATTTTACTTATCTGAATAACCTTTAGGTCAAAAACTTTCTTGATTAACAAGAGGTCCAAGATGGCCCTAGATCGCTCACCTGACCGATCGAACTCATCCGAGCAATTTCTGTGAACTACTTTTTGACCGGAGTAACCCATGTTAACAACCCAAATGTTGACGCACAATCCACGGCGCACGAAGACGGACACCGGACATAGCTCCATCACTATACTTCACATTGACCACTTTGTGGTCAGTTGAGCCAGTAAAAACGAACCACAGGGAATCAAAGCAATAAATGATTACGTAGAAAATATGCCACATTTGAGACCTCCTGAAATAGACACAATTATTGTGTAACATCAGGAAATGTAAAACAAAACACTTAACAACAATGCCGAGACTATTACTGGGTGTCCTTTGTAATATACAACAAGAGGGCCATGACGGCCCTGAGGTCCCTCACCTGTATATAGCCCCCCATCCCCCCACCCATAAGAAGATGTTTCATGCTAAACATCTAAGCTCTAGCTCATTGGGCTTTTTAAAAGAAGATTTGTTTAAGTTTTTACTATAAACATATAGTTAAAAACAATGACACCCCTGGGGCGGGGCCAGTTTTGACCCCAGGGCTTTTATTTGAACAAACTTTGAAGACACTTACTAGTAGATGTTTCATGCTTATTATCTAAACTCTAGCTATTAGGGTTTTTTCAAAGAAGATTTTAAGTTTTTGCTATACACATATAAGGAAAATCAATGACCCCCGGGGCGGGGCCAATTTTGACTCACTAGAAGATGTTTCATGCTATATATCTAAACTCTAGCTATTTGGGTTTTATCAAAAAAGATTTTTTAAGTTTTTGCTATACACATATTAGGAAAATCAATGACCCCCGGGGCGGGGCCAATTTTGATCCCAGGGCTTTTATTTGAACAAACTTGGTAGACACCCATAAGAAAATGTTTCATGCTAAACATTTAAGCTCTAGCTCATTGGGCTTTTTAAAAGAAGATTGTTTTAAGTTTTTACTATACACATATATAGTTAAAAACAATGACACCCCTGGGACGGGGCCAGTTTTGACCCCAGGGCTTTTATTTGAACAAACATTGTAGACACTTACTAGAAGATGTTTCATGCTTAATATCTAAACTCTAGCTATTTGAGTTTTTTCAAAGAAGATTTTAAGTTTTTGCTATACACATATAAGGAAAATCAATGACCCCCGGGGCGGGGCTAATTTTGACCCCAGGGCTTTTATTTGAACAAACTTTGAAGACACTCACTAGAAGATGTTTCATGCTTAATATCTAAACTCTAGCTATTTGGGTTTTTTCAAAGAAGATTTTTTAAGTTTTTGCTATACACATATAAGGAAAATCAATGACCCCCTGGGCGACCCTAATTTTGACCCCAGGGCTTTTATTTGAACAAACTTGGTAGACACCTATTAGAACATGTTTGATGCTAAATATCTTAGCCATAGCTCTTTGAGTTCTTTAAAAGAAGATTTTTAAGTTTTTACTATATGCATATAGGGAAAGTCAATGACCCCCTGGGGCGGGGCTAATTTTGACCCCAGGGCTTTTATTTGAACAAACTTGGTAGACACTCATTAGAACATGTTTCATGCTAAATATCTTAGATCTAGCTCTTTGGGACCTTTAAAAGAAGATTTTTTAAGTTTTTACTATATGCATATAGGGAAAATCAATGACCCCCTGGGGCGGGGCCAATTTTGACCCAAGGGCTTTTATTTGAACACACTTGGTAGATGCTCACTAGAAGATGTTTCATGCCAAATATCTAAGCTCTAGCTCTTAGGGGTTTTTAAAAGAAGATATTTAAAGTTTTTTTCTTTCGGTTGCCATGGCAACCAGAGATCTGCATGGAATTAAATTCTTTGAACAATTTTTAAAGGTGACCACCAAAGGAACATTCCTGTGAAGTTTGGATGAAATTGGCCTTGTGGTTTATGAGGAGATGTCATTTATAGTAAAAGTTTACGGACGACGGACGGAGGCCGGATGAAAAGTGATCACAAAAGCTCACCCTGTCACTTTGTGACAGGTGAGCTAAAAAGCCACAAGTCTCCGAGCGTTGTTTTGAGAGACTGAATTAATGGTACAGTAAATACAAGTACTGAATTGCACTGAGGCTTTATAAACGCATGTACAGTAACCTCCTTTGAATGTATTAAATTGCCAAGAAAAATTACTTACAAAATCATCAACACTTTTTGAAACAATAAGATAATATTTTTTATAAATCAAGCGACTTTCCGTGAATATCCTTTTACGATCAATAACCTGTTTCCTTCTTTGTTTGTGTATCTCTCCAATCAAGTCATCTCACAATTTACGTTGTGTACCTTCCCTGCTAAAAAAAAGTTCAAACTTCAAACATATAATGAAACCCATTTGTACTAATACTTAAAAGATAGTCCGTATATTTTCTTCAATGTAACTATTCTTCATGGAGCCAAACCGTATATTTTCTTCAATGTAACTATTCTTCATGGAGCCAAACCGTATATTTTCTTCAATGTAACTATTCTTCATGGAGCCAAACCGTATATTTTCTTCAATGTAACTATTCTTCTTGGAGCCAAACGTATATTTTCTTCAATGTAACTATTCTTCATGGAGCCAAACCGTATATTTTCTTCAATGTAACTATTCTTCATGGAGCCAAACCGTATATTTTCTTCAATGTAACTATTCTTCATGGAGCCAAACCGTATATTTTCTTCAATGTAACTATTCTTCATGGAGCCAAACCGTATATTTTCTTCAATGTAACTATTCTTCATGGAGCCAAACCGCATATTTTCTTCTATGTAACTATTCTTCATGGAGCCAAGCTGATTTTGATTAACGATTCAAGGTTAAACTTTTTTCATTGTGTCATACATAAAAGCACTTGCTGTAAACGTTTCTTTTATTTTGACTTTTTTTCATCATAATATTATATATTATCTTTTGATAATGAATAAAAACAAAGAACACCAGCAATAAATTTCAACAACTTTTTAATATGAAGCAATGAAATAAATATAATTATTTTTCATTAAACGAAAAAAATATTCCAAAAAGTTTATTGTACAAATATATAGGAGCAGGCTATTAAAACACATATACAGTCACCTACTTTGAAGGTATTAACATTGCCTTGAAAAATTACTTACAAAATCATCAACACTTTTCAAACAAGTTGTTTTTTATTAAACACAAATATCTTGTCCCTAATATATTATTACATGTAAATAATGATTAATTTCCTGAAATTTGATAAATGACAAACATTTAGTTAAAAAAAAACACAAACACTCTGGTCTAGAGGTTCTTTGTGTCAAAGTATGGACATCCTTGCATTTAAACTGAAGCCTTTAAAATGATGATGCTTTGTGTCATATACGGGAAGAGCAATACCTTGTCCATGGACGATAATTGGTTAATTGAAACAGTGTATAGACAAAGTAAGAAATGCCTGCTGATAGGGAGTCGCAACATAACCAAAACAATATGGTCCTAGATAAAAGGGGTGTAGGGAATGGCATATGATTGTAGCCATCAAAGTATTTTGAAGACTCAGTCTATCTTTTTATAATCTAACCTTAATATTGAATATCATGAATAATAAATTACACAAATTAGGGCATGCAAGCAGTTGTTTATAATAATAATTTTATCATATTTAATTTCGTCTGAAAACTAAAATAAATTTCATGAAGTATAATTACAAAAATATTGCCACAGCTACGCAATTGTGTTGTCATAAATTTCTAATACAATATTATTTTTTTTGAAGTATTACAATACAGAAAGTACCAAAAATATGGGCTAGATTCAACGAAGCCAAGAAAAAATTTCAAACAATAAAATTTGCTTAGAATTGTACAAAAAAAAAAAATTGTTAACAAAAAGATATAGCATTTTTCCTGGAATTTCTCCAGACCCACTTCTGCTGGTCAAGCAAATGAAACAAATTTTAATATTACATGAATATGAAGAAACACTTTGTACCCTCTATAATGAACCATAATTATACATTTTTGAAAACGTAATATAATGTGGAAGATTTTTTCTTAAATATTAGAAAAAACAATGACAGACATGTGCAACATTATTATCTTTATATTAAATGAAAAACTTTGTAATTCACAATGTAAATTTTCCTTACATAGATAAATAAAGAAAACAGACTATTGTTATAAAAATGAACAATATTTCACAAGTTTATTGCAGCATCCTACTGAGTGTAACAGAGGTGGTTGTGGGGGTGGGGCGCGGTCCAAAAGGACAATAATATAGTTCAAAGCATTTTATACATCATACTATTATATTGTCCTCCCAGTCAGATATGAATGGTCCTCAACCTCCAGCCTGTTAAATTTTTTGGACTGTATGACCTACTGATTGACGTCACTATAACGTTAAAATGTGGACAGTGCTGTGTACTACATTGTATTTCTTGATTTTGAGTCTTATAATTTACAGGTTTTTAAAAATAAAATAAATAAAATAATGCTCAAAAATAGGTTCAGCACCATAAGGATTAATTCCTGAAAGTCGAACTTTTTACTGGAAGCCATATCAATATTTCAGACATAATTTTCAGATTACAGACTGGCATAGAATTTTAATTCTTATTTTGTTACTACCTATCAATCTAATTTAAACGTTGTAAATGTATGTAATAACATGAAATAAAAATTGTATTTATATATAAACATATATCTACAAAATACTTTATATAAAAAATGTTTCAAATGTTAAAAGTTTATAAAGGCAATTTCCCTATAAAACATGTTTTGCATAAAAAAAAATCTACCAACTTTTTATTAGAATACCATTTTAGTCATTTATTCAAAATACACATAATATTATATCTATAAAACACACATAATATTATATCTATAAAATACACATAACATTATATCTATACAAAATTCTGGAACACACTTTTTCCCTGTCAATAAATAATCAGAAAACAAAATACACATTTCAAACAAAGACAAATTGCACCAAAATAGTACATGTAACATAACTTATCAATAAAAATAAATTTCATATCAGAAATATATTTTGCATTTCCTGAAAACACCCATCCATTTACTTTACTCTAACCCTACTGAATTAAAAAAAAATCTTACTTTGAATTTACAGCTCATTGGTATTTAAAGGCCTAGTATGCATCAGAAATGCTTATATTTTTATTTTTTCAAAAGCATTTTTTTACAGTTGTATAATAGTTTTCAATAAGTTTCTTATTGGCCAATTACCTTAACCATTATTTGCTACTGCTGCCTTTTGCAAATAAACACAGTTTTAGTGATAACTATTTTGTATGGAAGACAAACACTACATTGTTTACATTTTGCTAATTTTATGACAAATAATTTTATATTCAGTCCATCTTTCTTTAGGTGTTTTAAATGTTATAAAACTTATGTTTGCCCTTCTAAACAAGTGAAAATTCATGTATTTCTGAGACATAATATGCCTTTGAATGGATTACAGAACGAAATATTGATGTCAGAACTTAAACAGTTAGGTAAAACTGTATTCATTCATAAAATTGTTCATATACAAGGGATTTAAAATAATGCCTCAGGCTGCATAAAATCATACAAAAATCACAATAAACGTTTGTACAACAGACAGAAATATTATCTTCATAATACAATGAACATAATAAAAAGTGGAGAGTTCCCTAAATCTGCTTCCAAAAAACAAATAGTAACCCATGACATGATTGTAATTATTCAAACTTAATAAATGTCCTTTAACCCCTTCAGGCAGGAGGAATTTAGTACCATTGGAAATAACCGCAAAACCAAGTCAATGTATACACCCAAGAATGAATTAATTTCAATAAAACTAGTGTAATAATGATAAAATGATCACTTTTCCAAATTAATCACTGTGTCCAAAAGTAAGTCCGTTGGTTCACAAATAAAGGAAATCTGCATGACTTGGTTACATAACATTGCTTTTTAATTAATAATATCTAAAACGACTAAAAATAGTCGAAGAAGATGTTTTTTGCACCTTCCAAAAAATATTGTAATAAATAAAGAAAACATACAATATCTGATCCTAAATATCAAGCTCAGAGACAAACTTGAATTATTTTTTTTAAATATAAAAATTAGAACCAAAAAAAAAAATCTGAAAAGTTAAAATATTAATCATTTAAGGTCCTTTTCTTACATTTTTCATAACAAACATATTTTAAGATTGCAGAGTATTTAGGTAAAGAACCTGGGTCATTTTTCAAAGTATGTATCCATGGACCAGCCAAAGAGAAAGATGTCACTAAATCACCAAAAGTACCAGGATACCTCATAACATATTGGAGATTTTTACCTGACAATCTGGTCATTATAAAACCTGTGAGTATAAGACCTTTTTTGTTTTGTCTCACTTAAACATTAAATGTTGTCAAAATAATTAGTACAGAACTTAAATTTTTTTAACTTTATACATGTATTTTGTTCCATAAAAATAAAAGTTTTTAATCAAAACTGGACATTGGCACACATTCTCAACTATACACTATAAAATCAATTAAATAACATGAAATACTAATGGAAGTCCATTTTAGAATTAGCTAATCCCATTTTTCATATATATTTAACACATTCAATACAACATGTACAATAATCATCCGGTCTTGCATAATATGATCATATTAATTTTAGTTTATTTAGTAAAAACAATCTGCATCATTCAACAACTGTCAAAAAGTGAAATTAGACCAGTGGAGATGGTGATTCATGGATAATAATAGGTTTAACCCTTTACCTCATATAGACGTGTTTTGACATTTTGACCCCCCCCCCCCCTTGAGGTCTCAAACAGTGAAAAAAATGCCCTTTTTTGGCCCCAAACACTGTTTCTTTGTTTGAGAAATGTTGTTAAAAAAGTGATCACTTTTCTGGCGCCACCCCTCTCAAAATGATACATCAAGGGGTTGTCAAAAGGGGGATGTGCCCCCTTTCTGTTTGGGGAGTTTGAAGGGGAGGCGGCACCTCATCGCCAAGAAAATTTTGGACATGTAAAAATGGCCTCAGGTCGATCTTAGGGTAACTCAGTAACCAACACTGAAAAGCCTTTTACTCTATCTCATTCCATTGAGAAGTTGCAGCACTCTGAAATCAGTTTTGATGATTAAAAAAACAATGCAGAATAGTGATTTTTCGCAATTTTGAGAAATTTATGATTGAGCATGCCTTAACAGAGGTTATGGTCCAGTCAACAATTGTACCAAGTTTCATGAAGCATTTTTCATTGTTTCATAGCAGTTTGAACTTGTAACAGGAGGCTTTTCAATGAAAAAGGCCATTTTTCACAAAATGCTCATGAAAGAAATGGTTAACTTAAAATAAACCATTTCAAATCAAGTGACATCTTATACTTATACATGCAAGTATTTTAGCATTTGGATACCACACTGGTGAATACAAAATAAATTGTGTACAAACAGATTTTACATATGTTTTTCAACAATATAAATTAATACTTTTACATTCTCAATTGAAATGAAAAACTATTTCCTTTTAAAAAAATATAGGTCTCAAAGATGCAATTCAAAAACAAACAGCTTGTAAATCAACAGCTAGATCATGGATTTTTGCATACTGAATATAGAATGTAGCATGTTTGTTGTGAAACTATACAAATAATGTGATGTTTTACATGATAAATTTGTAGATTTTGTTCAAATCTAGTAATAAAATGTTAAAAGTTTATGCAATGTTTTGTTCTCATTAGAGCCCCTGATAAAGTTTTTAGTTCAATGTATAGTTTTGGAGGAGTTTGTTTTTTGTTCTGATTTGCTTGAAATATATGAAATGTATCGATATATCTGTTCTTTGGACTAATTAGAAGACAATTATTGCCTATTAAGAAACAACTGTTAAAGATAAATTTTAAAACATAAAACTTAAAACACTGAAAACTTGATAGATGGTCATGTGGTTATGTGGTCTGCAACCTAATAAATTATACTGTAGCAGTTATGAATATAAAAAAAACACTATTTTAAGTATACAAGGTTACTTTACAGGTTTTCATAGGAGAACTAGACTTGTTACAACGGTGTACATTCAAAATCAAAATTTTGCTCATGTTGTCCGGTCTAACATTTCCTTTCTTTTTCTGATTGGCTAATTTCAATTAAACCAATAAGTATTTACAGACTGATCTCCAAAGCAAAATTTTCACACATTTAGGCCTGCTAAAAACTTATATATAAGTATATATCCATCATCCAAGAATTTCTGCAGTGTCTTACATGTTGAATATCCATACATTCTTCGGCGCTTTGGTGCAAGTGGTTTATAAAATCTATGATCTAAAATGACCTATCACAGAACTTTGTAAACACTAGATGTAATATGGCTATAATCCATTAGATCTTTGTGATACAACTTCTTTATAATGTTCTATTAATAATTTGAAATATGATGACAATACCCCTGACATTGCTTGATCTATTGCAGCTTGTGGTAACCAGCCCTGAAAAAATACAAATGTTACATTATTAACACATATTTGTTTTGTCAGGTTTTAACCAAACTATTCAATCTCTTTGTTTGTTTGATTGGGTTTTACCTTGTACGTCATATAGCGATGTTCCATATTTACTGGTGGAAGACCTCAGATGCCCTTCCGTACATTATTTCAGGCACCAATGGGCACCTGAGAAGAACCACCAACATTCCGAAAGCTAGCTGGATAGCTTCCTCATATGAAAGAATGTCCCTGTTGGGATTCGAACCCACAGCGGTCAGGGACAAGTGGTTTGAAGTCAACAACCTTAACCATTAAGCCACGGGCGCCCCTCAATCTCTTGGTAATACAAAAGGTGAATTTCCCCAAGCAGACAACAATATCATCTCTGCACAAATCCTCCTACATTTCTCAAGGGAATTCAAACAAACTTTCAAAGAATGATTGCCAACAAGTACCCGAGCACATAATTGTCATGATTTAATGATATTATTATTTTAGCAAATTTAAAACTCTTTGTTTTTTGTTCAAGATATTACATGACTGTATGTAATATTTGCGAAAAATAAGGTTTTGTTGTTATTTTTTATCACTTAAGATTTGTTTTCATAAAACTAAAACAAATGTACAAAATGCACATAAGTGCTTTTTGTTTGTTAGTGTAGGTTTTAAGCTGCACTAATGATGTAAAGGTGATGGAAGATATCAGACATCCTTCTTTGCAATATTTCAGGCATGAGTTGGCACCCGGGTAGAACCACTGACGTTCTATTAGCTAGTTAAAGAGCTTCCTCGCATATATATTCCAAAGTCCCTGGCGGAATTCAAACTGACTGCAGTTTGAAGTCAAAGACCTGAATGCACATGAAAGGTCCTACAAAATTTTCTTGGTTGAAGAACAACCAACCTGCCTTCCATGACTGACCATAAAACATGCTTAAAGCTTTAATCAAAATATTTCCTCTATAAACTGTAGGACAACAACGCATAAATTGATAGTTTTTGGTTTTTGTGTCATTTTTCATGATAGGATTAAAAATAATTTTCCAGGATTTGTATACCAATTTGTATAATTGATATACTTCTGAACAAATAACTTGTGTGCAAAATTTCAGGCCATTCCCTCGTCCTATTTTTCCAGAATAATCAATTTTAATGTGAAAAAATTAAAAGTTTTATGATGCTGTTTACTCAAAATCCCTTTTATAATCCATCTGCAGATTTTTTCTATTTCAAGTGCTTTATTTGATTTTCTTAAAATTTTCAAATTTTCTGTTTTTAAGCCTTTTGACTTCAGTGGAGTTAATTTTATTTAACAAACTAGGTTTTAGGTCTAGTATGTAAAATATGGTATATTGTACATAAAGTTTCTAAAATCCAAAAACTGTTTAACCATTCAGCTTGCTGATATGAACACATTTTTCTTATAGGTAGTGATTACTTTACCTTTAGATTAGTGTTTACAATCCAAGTAAACAAGCATCGGTTGGGTTCATTCTCCACATTTTCAAATGCCCAACCTCCGGGTCCATTATCACCCCTGAAATAATAAAAATATTTATCAATGTTAAGTTCAAATTATCTCTCCTCAAATATTTGGACATATTTATCATTATCTCCCCTTAAAATTTGGAAATATTTAGCGTTAACTGTTTGTGGTATATCCTCATTCATAATAATCACTGTAACTTCCTATTCACTAAGCCACATCAAATAAAGGTAAAAACCAAATAAGAAATAATATATTATAAACTGACATTATAAACCACAAAACTGATATATTTTGGTCAGGTTTTTAATGGATTCTAGAACATTTTTCCATTCAGACATTTGTCCCATTTCTTACCATGGTGGACATGTTTAGAAAAGGAATACATTATATTGACCCCCTTGATGCAACTTGACTGAGCTAAATAAACATTGTCCGGTTGTAAGGAAATGTACCTACATGTACCACAGAAACTTGAAATTCCATCATTACAAGTTATGTTACTCTAATTATTAATATAATTTGCTATTTTTATATATAAAAATACTTATTCACTGAAGTTCCAAAATTACCTCCATAAGATATATATAAGATAATGGTCAAAATATGGAGGTGTTTCAAGAAACAAAATGTACAGACTTTATAACACACTCAAATGCAGTGTCATGTACTGACATAAGATACTCAAAGGCATAAGACATTTTCATGTACTAACATTCAGCTGCGCAAGAAAGTGTCATGTATTGACATAAGACATTCAGCTGCGCAAGAAAGTGTCATTTACTGACATAAGACATTCAGCTGCGCAAGAAAGTGTCATGTATTGACATAAGACATTCAGCTGCGCAAGAAAGTGTCATGTACTGACATAAGACATTCAGCTGCGCAAGAAAGTGTCATGTACTGACATAAGACATTCAGCTGCGCAAGAAAGTGTCATGTACATTTGATAGGGTCATGTTTGACTATATTTAATGTCTTACAACATTTATTAAACATGATTTATAGATTTAATTCTGACAAAAGCCTTAAAATGCCCCAAATGCAATGTAATTACCCCTACAAAAGACTTAATTGCCTTTATATCACAAAGGACACCAAAACACACAAAAACCTGCATCAGACACTAACCTGGCTTTGCCATCAAGACACTAAATTAACAGAACAACATACTGTCATTTGACTTAAATGTTCCAGACATATTATAGTCAAATTCTGACAGCGGAAAACTAAAATACAAGAACCTTAACTTTTACAAAAAAGATACTTTTAAACTTAAGATTCCCACAAGACATTCTTAAAAAAAATGAGTTAAACAAAAGGGCCATGATGGCCCTGAAATCGCTCACCTAAATATAAAATTTTCCATGACAAGATTTAGAAACAAGTAATATTGTTATCTATAAAAAAAGCAGATATAAAATCTAAAACTGATATCACAAAGTTCATATTTGCATCTGAAAAAGTGTTTGTGTTATCACTGGATCCAGTTTATGTGTAAAATTTGCCATATTTTCAGTCTATTTGTTGCTATAGCAACCAGGATTTCCAACATAGGGAGAAAAGAAAAAAATGTGCATAATCTCCAGACTGCCATCTACCCATATTTCAAGTTTCATCAAAATATTTCCGGTACTTTTTGCGTTATCTATCACTGGATCATGTTTATGTGAAAAACTTGCCATATTTTCAGTCTATTTGTTGCCATAGCAACCAGAATTTTCAACATAGGAAGAAAAGAAAAAGACGAGCATAATCTCCATACAGCCATCTATCCATATATCAAGTTTCATATAAAAATTTTCAGTACTTTTTGCGTTATCGCGGGATCCAGTTTTGTGGACGGACGGACTGACAGACGGATGTTCTCACAGGACAGTAATTATGTGGATACTCTATTGTTCTTTTTAGCCATAGAAAAGAAAATAAATAGCCACATAAAAGCATTACGGAATGAATGACATCAAAGAGAAAGAACAGTTACCTATTGTCCCTCTAGCCACATAATAACTGTCCTGTGAGTGCGGACAGACAGATGGAAGGACGGACGGACGGACGGACGGAGGGTAAACCTAAAGTCTCCTCCAGTAAACCGGTAGGGGACTAAAAATATCTAAGCTCTAGCTCTTTCAGTTTTTTAAAAGAAGATATTTTAAGTTTTTTCTTTTGGGTGCCATGGAAACCAAAGTTCTGCATGAAATTAAATTCTTTGTACAATTTCTAAGGTGACTAACAAAGTAACATTCTTGTGAAGTTTGAATGAAATTGGCTTAGCAGTTTATGAGGAGATGTCATTTAAAGTAAAAGTTTACAGATGGACGGATGCCAGACAAAGAGTGATCACAAAAGCTCACCATGTCACTTTGTGACCAGTGTGCTTTAAAAAAAGGTTTTATTAAAAATTGAGTATTTTAATCAAACTAGATAACTGCATCACATCTAATTAGGAGACTTCAGAAAAGAGCATAAAAAAGGGCCAAAAATACAAAATTTGAATAAATAACCTAACTAAATTAAATTTATTTAAAAACTGTTGTTTAGAAAAAAAAATGTTTTTCCCGGTAAAAAAATTAAAGGGGTAGAAAAGCCCGCAAGAGAAAAAAAAAGAAAAAAAAAAATTCCCAATTTTTTTTCTGTATACATAGATACTATAAAACTCAATGATAAAAATATTATAGATAAAATTTAATTTAACTTTGAGGAAGAAACTTTAATATGTTTGATTGGATGCTGCCACCATTAATTACATTTACGTCACAAACTAAAATTTAATCCACCCCCCCTCCCTTTCCCCCTATCTTTGTAAAAAAACACACTCCCTTTTTAACCAAAATTTAGTAATAAACCCATCATACTAAGCTACCCATAAACCCATCCCTAAAAATTTCTTTGAACATTTCCCCTTTTTAAAAAACCCCAACCCCATCAAAAATATTTTTGGGGGCTTTTTTTTGGACAACCAGGACAACTTCCCCTCCCTTTATTTCGTAAAATATAACTGTAAAGGAATTATCCAAGTTGTCACAAAAAATGTAATAGGAATCGTCCAGAAAGGGAAATGTCCAGTTCCTTAACATCAAGCTATGTCTAGCCATTAAGCCATGCCTAACCATCAAGCCATGCCTAGTCATTAAGCCATGTCTAGCTTACACCCTGTGATAATATTGTAGCACACTTTGCCTTGGATCATAAAATATATAATTATATCCACAGAGAATAAACTATACAAAAGTCTTGTTTACATGTTAATAAATACAAGAGAAAAGTACTGCAAACCAATCATCTTTGACAATTATCATCTGTGATATTTACTGTCATCATATTTGTTTTTTTTTCTCTTCAGAGAAGTCAAAAAATCTCTACCAGTAATAAAGTTGAAATATATTTCCTTTTCTTTTCTAAATGGATAATGACCCAACATATCAGGCATAATTTCAAACACCAAAAGAATGTAAGTAAAGCCACAAATGCTCAGTTAGCTAGCCAGAAAGCTCCATGGCAGAATTCTCTTTTTCCAAAAATTTTAGCTTATCATCAAATTCAGTTTTAACAGAAATCTAACCAAAAAATCCAAATTTGAAATATTTTCAGATATTATAATATGCAAACAAAAGTTTCATCAAAACATTGTTATGAATTGTTGTTTTAAGGTCTAAATATGTCTCATTTAAAAGATAATTAGTAAGCAGTAAAGCTGAATATACTATGTGATATATAATTTCGATAGAAGAGCACGTGCGGCAGGAGAAAAGCACGTCTAGGAATACGCATACCTGACGTATTTTTTCTGCACAGGCATATCTGCATATGCACAGCCTACACCATATGATATATACATGTCTTGCTCTATCTGCAGCCACTGGCGTACATTTATAAAATCTCGTGCAGATACGAGGCCGCCCGCAGCCTCGGCAGAAATGTTGTATGTAATCTCAGAATTGCCTTCTATTACCTGAAGCGTCTGTAAATAAGATACAAAAACGCATGCGGGTTACACACACAAAAAAACACCGTTTATATCTGGTTACGTAAATCGGCTTTCGACACGTACCTTACATATTTTTTGGTAGGGGGCATGTCTGGATGTGTTGTGCCAATACTGGCAGCTATATACATTGAGTTGTTGTAACATATCCACTGACGTAGACTAACAAAATCTCGAGACGATACGAGACCACCGCCTCCCTCGGCCGCAACGCTGTAGGTTATCTCTGTACAGTCGTCTACCTCCTGTAACGTCTGTAACAAATGTCTTCATAGCTAAACCATTTCAAAGTCTACAATAATTTCTTTTATCACATACCCATGCCAATTTTGCAACCCAGTAAAAATGCTATGACACTGCCGAGTATATATTTTGACATGCCGTCATTTACGTTATATAAACATAGCGTTAAGATGAGCTAAATGTTAGCATTATACTGTAGGCACATCAATGAAAAATAGTTGTTTTTTCACTTCAAACAGTCTTTATTTTTGGTATGTGATAAATAGAATATTAAATTTGTGTTAAGTTCATAATACTGAATTTATTGAACTCGTTGAATAAAGTAATATTATGCTTGCCAGAGGCTCATAGAATATAATTTTATTCAACTTGTTCAATAAATTCAGTATTAAACTTTCACTCATTCAATATCTTCTATATCTCAGATATAAGTGGTTTTCAACACAATTCAACTTCCAGACAACTTTGGTTCCCACTTATTTATTTTGACTGATATTTTGTAAGCCAGGACAACTCCTTACTTGTAGTTTTAACAGAGAAAAATTCTCCTTCCCTGTAAAGTAATGAATGTTTCCTACTTTTTAGATTCATATCAACAATGTTTGCCAATTAAAACCGCTCCAACACATCTTTCATATTTTAGTGATTATGTTGTTTATTTTAAAATATATTCTTGGGTGTAAACAAGATAATTATCAAAATTGTGCAACACTGTATAAACTGTGCTAACCATCAATGTATAATCTTGTCAAAGTCAGAGGTCAATTTAATTCTTGTCAAAGTCGGAGGTCAATTAAATTCTTGTCAAAATCAAAGGTCAATTAAATTCTTGTCAAAATGAAAGGTCAATTAAATTCTTGTCAAAATCAAAGGTCAAGTAAATTCTTGTCAAAATCAAAGGTCAATTAAATTCTTGTCAAAATCAAAGGTCAATTAAAGTCTTGTCAAAATCAAAGGTCAATTAAAGTCTTGTCAAAGTCAGAGGTCAATTAAATTCTTATCAAAGTCAGAGGTCAATTAAATTCTTATCAAAGTCAGAGGTCAATTAAATTCTTATCAAAGTCAGAGGTCAATTAAATTCTTATCAAAGTCAGAGGTCAATTAAATTCTTGTCAAAGTCAGAGGTCAATTAAATTCTTATCAAAGTCAGAGGTCAATTAAATTCTTGTCAAAGTCAAAGGTCAATTAAGTTCTTGGTCAATTTAATTCTTGTCAAAGTCGGAGGTCAATTAAATTCTTGTCAAAGTCAGAGGTCAATTAAGTTCTTGTCAAAGTCAGAGGTCAATTAAATTCTTATCAAAGTCAGAGGTCAATTTAATTCTTGTCAAAGTCAGAGGTCAATTAAGTTCTTGTCAAAGTCAAAGGTCAATTAAGTTCTTATCAAAGTCAGAGGTCAATTTAATTCTTGTCAAAGTCAGAGGTCAATTAAGTTCCTGTCGAAGTCAAAGGTCAATTAAATTCTTGTCAAAGTCAAATGTTATTGTACACATATAAGTAAGCATTTATTTTGCTCAACACACTCTTTACTTATTTTGTTTTTATTATTTTTTGCACATACAAACAGAATATTACAAGTAAGCTTTATTCAAAGAAAGCTATATTCTACTTTTGTTAAGTCTTTATGTTATATTAAACTGTTCTACTTGTGCATTGTTATTATGATATTTGGCTGATACATTTTTTTGCCAATACATGTCATAATAAAGTTAAACCTTTTAACACAAATTGGTCCCATTTTTGTGCATATTACCTGAAATGTTAAACTTTTCGTATGCTAGAAACACAAACATTATAATTATACTTCATTTATAGTTAATTTCTTTCTGTGCGTTGAATTATATACTAAGAAAAACATATACACCAGAATGATACTTCTTAAATTAGCCGTCTCTGTTTTCTAAAAGTATTTTTTTTTCAATATGCAATGCAGTTTAGAACTAATCTGAAGTAACTTAAATGAACATTCATTCTAATATATATAAATCATTTATTTTTATTAGTTCCTAAAAATCCTACTCTGATAATACTTTGCACAGTATATGTTATACATTTTTCAACACATTGCACCAGGTAGGGGGAGGCAAGCTGACATAAAAAAAAAATACTTTCTTTCTTTATAACAAAAACAATTTGTCAAAATCTCTAAATAGCAGATAATCTGTAAATTCTATAGGGCACTAAAGATTTCAAGTCTTCTTTCCTGGAAACCTGGACCAGCTTGTCTCGGAGTCTTTCTTGTAAAAAATAATCTTTCTGTCATAAGTCATGATCTTTCCTGCCAGACCCACACCCTTTAGTAGCAAAATATTGGTAACAAACATAGGAAATTGCCTGTCAGTCCCACCCCCGTCAAGTTGCAAAATATTGGTAAAAACATTGGAAAAACGACCCTTTTTAACCCTTTATATAAAGAACCACTTAAAAAATTTATATTCATAATTTGCGAAGAAAAACAAATTTTCTGATAACTCACCTACTTTCAAAAATGGGTTGGTTTCCCACTTCGGGAAATCATTTAAACGTAGTCCCCTTTCATCCCATAGGGTCGTAGGGGTGACATATTTTTAATCAACCCTAAATTTGATAAATACATTTTTGAAATCATTAACCCTTATTCCTCCCGGCCCTTTTTTGTACTTGAATGGCTGGCTTACGGAAAATTTTAAAACCTTTTAAAAAATTTTGAAAGTATGAAAATGTTAGAAATACTCATTTAAAAAGTCTAGCTAGTCTGGCTTCTTTTATACTAGTCACATAGACTAGCTTATTTTTGTCATCAACACTCAAATGGATAAACAGTTATTATACAAAAGAACAATCAAATTGTTCAAAGTTATCAAAAAAAATTAAAAATAAAAGAAGAGACCATGTTTTTATAAAAGTCATGCCTTATTCATATACCGATTTCAAATTTAACTCAAATTTTGAAGAAGAAAAAAGTGAAAAAAGTGCAGCTGCATTTATCTTCTATAGATTGATATTTGTTTTGTTACATTTTTCTATTATTTCTATATTCATTATTTTTATTTCTTTTTATTTTTGGGGGGAGGCGTTGATGTGCTATTTTCTTTTCTTATTTCTTTTTTATTACAACACTGATTTCAATTCCCAAAAGGTCACACACCTTATCACCTAAAACATACATGAACATACATTTTGAAACTTTTTTTATCTGAACTCATAAACTGTTTCATGTGATTGTGTAAACAGTTAGATAAGGATTTCAACTATGTAAACAATAGTGAAACATGTCCTTTGCCACTTTTATGTTAATATCAAAGCTTTTTTATCTGTTTACACTTTCTCTTGTTCAATAACAGGAATGTCAAGACGACAGTGTGTAGCCACTTAAGGGTAACTAGGTCTACTAATAACTCTACACAGGTGTAAATAAAACTAACCTTTCGCAAAAGAACAAATATTACGAAAATCAGAGTACAGTATGTTGAAATACTGTAAAAAAATAAGATTTTAATTGACTTGCAAAATTCAATTTCATCAAGTATATAATGGTAATGTCAATATGACAAAGTGTAAGCCACTTAAGGGTAACTAAATCTACTAGACACACGTGTAATAAGAACAAAGCATGTTGACAAAAGCAACTTTATAAAAATACTTTATTGTAATTATTCTTATAAATGAAATATCGAGAAAAACTGATGAAACAAAATGCATATTTCATTTTCCATATTTTCACTGTAAAAATTTATTTTTCACTGCAGTGAAACATATTTTCCCTATTTTCACTGGTGTCTTGCCAGACTACTTTCTTCTAAATTTAGCTGAAACACAAAATTTCATGGTGAAGTCTTTCAAGTCATAATGAGTTAAATAAGTTGAAGGTGAGCAATGGCCTAGTGGTTAAGCTGGGTAATGGGTTCGAGCCCTAATCGGGTCACGACCATGTTTCTTCATATGACACCAATACTGGCTGGTTCTAGAAAGCAGACTCGAAAGTGATTAATATAAGTTGAAAGAACTTGTTTCACAATCTAGCTTAAATAAATATGTTAAAACCAAATCATAATAAGATAATTACCTGAAGTTTGAAAAGTTTCCTGCCAAATTTTTTGATATTTTGACTGTAAATGATTCCTTCTTCAAGACTTTTACCCGATTCTAATTTCCAGCCGTCCATATGAAATAATTCCAAGAAGGCCGTTTTTGCCTCCTCCAGCAACTGATTGTAGTGTTCAGCGTCCTGTACAAAAAGTAAACATATAAAAATAAAATAAGACATTTCATGAAAACAAAAAAGACAAAAAATATTGCTATATTCTTATGTTTATGTTCATTAAATAACAATACTAGGAATAAACTAAAATCCCTAAAATTATTAAGAAATGTCACTACAGAGAGCATAAATAACATTTAAATTCAAGTAAAAGAGCATAAATAACATTTAAATTCAAGTAAAACAGCATGAAAAACATTTAAATTCAAGTAAAAAAGCATAAAAAAATAATATTTAAATTCAAGTAAAAGAGCATGAGTAACATTAAAATTCAAGTAAAAGAGCATGAGTAACATTTAAATTCAAGTAAAAGAGCATGAGTAACATTAAAATTCAAGTAAAAGAGCATGATTAAAAAAGCATAAAAAAATAATATTTAAATTCAAGTAAAAGAGCATGAGTAACATTAAAATTCAAGTAAAAGAGCATGAGTAACATTTAAATTCAAGTAAAAGAGCATGAGTAACATTAAAATTCAAGTAAAAGAGCATGAGTAACATTTAAATTCAAGTAAAAGAGCATGAAAAACATTTAAATTCAAGTAAGAGAGCATGAAAAACATTTAAATTCAAGTAAAAAAGCATAAAAAATATTTAAAATTCAAGTAAAAAAGCATGAAAACATTTACATAAAAGTAAAATTCTAAAATTAAGAAGAAAATATCACTATAGAAAGCACAACATTCAATATTCAAGTGTTTTACTTAAAAAAGCTCTCTATAGCAACCAAATTATTTTCTAACAATTTTCTTATCAGATATGGCCAAATAATACATCCAATGAATTACATTTACTCAATTGAATATTTATTATATAACTAACTTAGGTTTCATATTTGTACTGGAAGTTTAGTAGATATAATTTTGTACTGTCAATTTTCTTCTGACCTTTTAAACTCTCTACAATAAATATTGTTTAATGGACTTGTCCTGATACTAATTTGGGAATGTCCATTAATGAAAATAAGAGGTGTATGACATCAAAAAAACAAAACTAACAGTCAAAAGTAAATCTATTCAGATTGCATGTATTTGTATGTACAGCCCAGCATAATATTGATGGCATAAGTCTACAAATCTGGAAGCATTCAAAGGGTTTAACCCCTAAACCTGCTGAATTTCTTAAATGGACTCGTCCAGCTTCCATTTTAGGAACAGTCCATTATCATTTTTTGGTATATGGAGATGACAATTTGAAGTTGATCAACCAACAGTATAGAGCCTGGTCAAGACTGAATGGATTATACAGACTGGCCTGGCTCTATACTCACCCAGTGGCAAAAGCTAACACATTTTTGTCCCAGCAGAGCAAGGGTTAAATAAAATTTAATTGATTTTTTTTAATTGCTTATACAGTAGATTATCCTAAGTTTAAATCAAGACTGTTGTATCTGCTTCAAGTTAAGTTAAGTCTGTAGGATACTTTTGCTCTATGATGACAGAATGTACGACTATAAAAAATGGTAGAAATTTTAATTTAGAACCATTTCATTGCATAATTGACCTTTAGAAATAGGTCAACAAAACATTTCAATACAAATCATGACATAAAACTTTTATATTTCAAATATCTAATCTAAAGAGAGCAATAAAAGCATAATTTAATTTTGCATGCAATTGTTAGATTGATTCCAGTTTGACCAAAATTGAAATATTTAAATGATCCTAAGTTGTTTGGGTTTATGACTGGGGTAACAGGAAACAGATTTCAGACTGTCTAAATATGAATGCTAATTAATCAAATCAATTCACTCAGGTTTAACCATGTTTTTTTTTTTTCCTTTTTTCTTTTCTTTCTTTTTCTTTTATGTTTTTTTTTAAAAAAGAGAAGGCTATCTATCCATCAAGGTGATGATTTTTACTCAGGTACCCATTTTTTTAGCTCTTTCTCCACAAGTAAAGCTGTGACAAAACCCAACCCGAAAATAAAATTACTATATTTTTTTGTTACACATTTTGTACATTGCTGTTCATTATTCTCATATGTTTCCAAAAAAAAAGTAAAAACACAAAAAAAATGTGTCATCAAAATAAAGGTTTTACTGTATTTTCTACTAATGAAGTTTAATGTTTGTAATCTAAACACTCTAAAAAATTCAAAATCTTAAATCAACCTTAGACCTAAAATAAATGATCAATTTTAATATTTATTTAATTTACTACTTCAGAATTTCGGGCCATTTTAATATTTGTTTAATTTATGACTTCAGGTCAAAGTGTTAGACATTTAATCACTTTTTCATGTCTAAAGCAGGTAATATCAATGCAATTTGGAAATCAAAGCATTTAATACATGTAATATGTAGGGAACTTTATTGTTTGCTGTTGGGGGTGGTAGGGTGGAGGTTGGGTGGGGTGTTGATTTTTTTAAGGTCATATGTAATATTTATAATTGTGTATGACTTCTACATAAAAAGATCTAACTTTTACTAATCTAAATTAGTGCCGTAAATTGTCATTATTGACGAATATAGTCCTTTTTATACTGTTAAAATTTCACATAAATAAGGTGTAAAAAGTTATATCACATGTTGGAAATGCCTTAATTTGTGCTAAACACATTATTAACAAATAATTAAACAAAGTTTAATAGTTAAATGTTTTAAAGTTTGAATTTTATTTAACAATTGTGAAAAAAAGGATACATTTTGGCTTTATGATAGGGTCCTTATAATATTGGCTTATTACCCATAACTTCATATCGATGTCTTTTTACGCCTTTTCACCCCCTTTTTTTTTGAGGCCTCAAATGGTGAAAAAAATGCCCTATTTGATTTCGTTTGAGACATGGTGTTAAAAAAAAGATTACTTTTTCGGCGCCATCCCATTTCCTCAGTCTTTTTTATATTGAGCCCAAAGCTCTTTGCCACAAATAAATTGGTTTAAACTACACAATACATGTATATCAAAACCTATTAACAATTGAAAACATTCGTTTTTTAAGTAGAGGAATTTACCGAATACTGAAATATTTAATATATAAACTCATTACTGTTTCAAATATTTGAGTTTCCCCATAAATCAATTATAATCCGGTTAACTTTTTTTATCTCAAAAGACAAACATGCTCCGACTGAAGGGTTTTTCTACCAGTCATTCTGCACAGCACATTATTTTCAAGTGTAAACATATTTAGTTCTTGTTTAGCAACCAAACTGCATTTGAAATATGTAACAAACGTTGAACAATTGCGATGTTTGTCTTAAACAGTCAATTAATGTGAGTGGTGGCATAGTGGTTTAGGTGTTTGACAATTAACCCACCAAACACCACAGATTTGAGCTTTATTGCGGTTAATAGCAAGTTTTCTGACAATTATTTGTTAATTCCTGGAAGAAGACTTAAAGGAGTGGTTTGTAATACATGTTAACTTATCAGGAAAGTGATAAGTCATGAATGGACCATTATCTATACAAGGACCATTTTCTCTTCATACCATGGATTTGAATAATTTCTGTGCTAATCAGTTGCAATAATAATAAGCAATTTAATTACAATTTAAAAAGATATGTGTATATCAATTATGATTTTCATGAAATGTTTATTCAGTATTGTTTAAAGGCAGAAGTGGCCAAGTGAATAGAGAACCTCAACAAAGGGTTCAAGACCTTCAGTGCTAGGTAGTACATGAAGTATGCTTTCAAGAATTTATATACTATGTTTCCAATTGTTAAGTGCTCGGTGGCAGCTGTAAAAAGGCTGCTTTATTCTTACTATATCTCAGAGTTGTTGTTTTTTATTTATCTGGTCCTTCAGGGTCAAAGGTCCCAATACTTTAAGTTTGAGAATTCAATATGACTTAAGCCAGTTCTAGAGGGCATGCAAGATACTGTTCTTTACATTTCTCTCATGAACCCACTTGATTAAACCGAGTGTGCTATTTTTTTCTTTTTGTTAACACTTCTCTCATGGGATCTTTGGTCGGGTTTCTTTACATCGCACCAAAAAAGTAAAGGTCATATGACGACTTTCAGCTTTACTGGTGGAAGAAGACCCCACTTATGTTCGGTAAGCTAGCTGAATAGTTTCCTCACAGGAAAGAATCAAAAGTACCTGTCACAAATGCGAACCCCTCGTGGCATCTCCCATTGCTGGAAGCTCCAAGCTTTCATCACAATGAAGCACAAATAAGTACATCTAAACTAAACACCATCAATATTTCATGCTTATATTCTTATAATTTATATGGGTTTTTTATACAAAGAAGCTAAAGTAAAAAGAAGACTGTATAATTATACATATACAAACCTGGTGTAAATATCTTAAGCATTGGAATAGGTACCATGGCTGTTGTTGCCTTCCAGGATGAAGAATGAAGCATTAAGTAATTACTATAAACTAAGATTGTCGAAGACCTATGACAAGCCTTTTGTCAAACTTTTGACCTCTCATAGGGTGACTTTAACCTTAGAAGTATGAACACTTCTTAGGCATGTTTGACCAATAGGCCAAGCAGTTTCCTAAAGTAATAAATCCTCAAACTGCTGAATATTTAAGCATTGGATTTTTCCTGGTTTGAAACTGGAACAATCCATTCCAATTTTAAGGGATTTCGATGGCAAAATACAAACTTTGAGCTGAGCCGGGTTCTATATGTATTAGTGGAGAGGCTAATCACATTTGGTTGCAGCAGGGTAAGAGATAATGAAGAAGATTATTTATGGTTCATGCAACTAAATCTCTCCCTATATGTAACTTCTGACCTTAAAATGTGACACTAACCTTGGAGCTACAGGCAGTGTAACTTGATCTTAAAGTGTGATATTGACCTTGGCCCTAAAGGCACTCACAGATCTTAAAATGTGACACTAACCTTGGAGATATAGGCAGTTTAACTTGATCTTAAAGTGTAATATTGACCTTGGCGCGCTAAAGGCACTCACAGATCTTAAAATGTGACACTAACCTTGGAGATATAGGCAGTTTAACTTGATCTTAAAGTGTGATATTGACCTTGGCGCTAAAGGCACTCACAGATCTTAAAATGTGACACTAACCTTGGAGATATAGGCAGTTTAACTTGATCTTAAAGTGTGATATTGACCTTGGCGCTAAAGGCACTCACAGATCTTAAAATGTGACACTAACCTTGGAGATATAGGCAGTTTAACTTGATCTTAAAGTGTAATATTGACCTTGGCGCGAAAGGCACTCACAGATCTTAAAATGTGACACTAACCTTGGAGCTACAGGCAGTGTAACTTGATCTTAAAGTGTGATATTGACCTTGGCGCGAAAGGCACTCACAGATCTTAAAATGTGACACTAACCTTGGAGATATAGGCAGTTTAACTTCTGATCTTAAAGTGTGAAATTGACATTGGAGCTAAATGCACTGTCCTTTTAAAATGTGATATTGACCTCAAAGCTGTCTCCAATGTGACAAAAGAATTTATAATGATGAAAAATTGGTGCAAAATTGCAATATCACATTTGAGGATAATTGAACATACACATGCAAACTAGGGATTAAAGACATTCTCACAAATCTGCCACTAATAGCTCTCAGTATGGTTATATAGTAATTGACTGAATGGGTGTTTTACAATGGGAGCTTCAATATAATTAAAATTTGCAGGTGCAAAAGCTACTGTGCTGAGTAAATACTGATGCCTAGATTTTACACGGAATTTCATTTACCAAATTTTATACTGTACAGTGAAGCATATAATGATAATACAGTATATTGAATCATTCCAGGGAATTTTGGGATATTACAACAGCTTGCCGGTGCACTGGTGGACTGCGCTGGTGGGGATCCTGGTGCTCAGATCTCACAAAGAACACCACTTACCACAGAACTAACGGTACTAGTCACACTATAGAGGGAAGCGTCACTTGCCTTTCGACTGATGCTACTGGTGATCGAACTCTGGTCACCGTGCCGGTGACGGTGATGGTGATTATGATGATGTGGATTGTGACCATGGTTAACACCGTGCAGATGGTCCCCTTCATCCTCAGAGCCTAAAAATATAGTACATGATTATGCCTATCACAAATATAGAGTATGGGTATCAAAAGTTTAAGCAAAAATATCCAATGAAATCATGGGTATCAAAAGTTTAGGAAAAATATCCAATGAAATCACAGGTATCAAAAATTTAGGGAAAAATATCCAATGAAATCATGGTTATCAAAAGTTTAAGGAAAATTATCCATTAAAATGACAGGTATCAAAAGTTTATGGAAAAATAATCTAATGAAATCATACTTTCAATGTCTTGAACAGATCCATTACACAGGCGGCAGTATCAGTGTTTGGACACCCCACCCCTATCTGCCCCTGGACCCCAACTACAATCCTGAAAAAAAATTCAACACTCTAAGGCTTACTATAAGGTACCAAATACAAAACCACCGATGAAATTATATATATAAAAAAATTTTCCACTATCAAAATTATAGTTATAGAAAGGTGTAAAGCCTACTATATGTCCATTTGCCAAACAATGTGGAACACGGGAAATCGTCGTTTCGGCGACTGAGGCGCACTCCGGCGGGATTTCCCTGCATCATTCATTTACATTAATAAAAAGAACTTGAATTCCACAGCTTACTTAATTCAAGTCCAATGAATATCAATATTCTATCGATTTTTTCTATTTCACGGTAATTTTTGACTTGTCGTTGCCATTTTGGATTCTGATACCTGTGTGTTATACGCGATCTGATTGGACGTCCAATTTGGCTCGCATATTTCAACCCAGGTATCAGACTGCAAAATGGCTACGACAATTCAAAAATTACCGTGAAACAGAAAAAATCGGAATGATAGTGATATTCGTTGGACTTGAATTACATAAACTGAGGAATTCTAGTTCTTTTTATTAATGTTAATGAAAGATGCAGCGAAATCCCGCCGGAATGCGCCTCAGTCGCCGAAACGACGATTTCCCGTGTTCCACATTGTTTGGCAAATGGACATATAGTAGGCTTTACACCTTTCTATAACTATAATTTTGATAGTGGAAAATTTTTTTATATATATAATTTCATCAGTGGTTTTGTATTTGGTACCTTATAGTAAGCCTTAGAGTGTTGATTTTTTTTTCAGGATTGTAGTAGGGGTCCAGGGGCAGATAGGGGTGGGGTGTCCAAACACTGATACTGCCGCCTGTGATCCATTAAAGCCAAAATATGACAATATGGGGCAACAACAAACTATTGTCATCTTGTTGAGTTCCATACAAATAAATTAAAATTATGGAAATGATCAAGTTTGTGCTTTAATTAATTTCAAGTTTATCGGTTTGTAATATAAGATTTCAAATATAAACATGTAAGAAGGGACTTGTTGTTTGTTCAGCACATTATATATATGGCAATATCTCTTAAGATTTTAACACAAATCTGACTGCCACAGACCAAGTGCTTTACTTAAGCTTATAGGCTTTACCGGCAAAACTTAAAGCATAGAAATATATAGTTATATGGTCATACATAAATCACAAAGGTACACTGATTGAGACTTGCATAAGAAACATTTATATACATGTACATTTAAAAAAAAGAAAATAGTAAAAAAGTATTCTGATTTTCAAACCCTTTCAGACCAATTATTAAATTATCTGTCCAATCTTACATGGTTTCAGAATAAACGCTGGAGAAAATTTATTGAAACCACTGAAGTATAGTATTGATCAGAATAATTCCTCAATATCATATTTCAAGTTCGATGAACAAAAAAAAACAATATTCATATTGATTAATGGAAATACAATACACTATTCACCTTATAGAAAGTTATTTACATATTTAATCACAATATTCTACCGCACCATTTGCTTGTGTCAATTTAAAACTATTTGTATAGTAATCTTTAACAAGAAGGTCAATTAGTAAATATTTAATGAAGGAACGAAGGTAAAAAGTAAATCTGAAATCCAGATAATCACTGTTGACAATGCTTATTTATTGATCGTGGCAATTTTCTCCTATTAAAATTTCCTGCTTTTCCCAGTCTTTTACCTGATGACTCAAAGCCATAAATTGTTTTAAAGGCCCCCTCATGGTAAGTTTGTATCCCACTAAATTCAGATTGTGAAATGAGAAAGCTTATTAATAAACCAGCTTAAGAATGACACGTCCTGGTTTACTAATACAGAAATACTAACAGAGGGGTCACTATAGAGGTCTTCCTCCACCTCACCGCAGTTCAGCTGGAAAGTTGCCATTTGACATTAATTTTACTTGTCATTGTGACTTTATACTCGAATGAAAAAATATAAAGCCTTGTTTCTTATTTTGAAATCTGACATTGCAAAGTTCTTAAAGTTGTACCAAATTTTGTTCCATTACCTATGTTTAGGTTAAATGCCACAGACTAATTTAAGGACATAAATTTGAGAACAAATCTAGACCTGCCAGTGCTAAACAATTGCAATTCTAATGATTTATTAAAGGGTATACACCCTTCTTGTGCAATGTACAATACGGTATCATTTCACATAAATCTTTTTTAATTAAATGTCTATGAGCCCTAATAACCTGCTGGTGGCAACTCTGATTCTAACCACATGGAACAAGCACAGACCAAGACCAGTAGGTACATCCTTGCCTTCAGAGACAAGCCCGTCTGCTCTGGCACTACCCTTAATTCAGTCAGTACATAATTATTATGACATTTTTCTCCATAAAAAAGATGGAATGTCTTGTTCAGAAAGATAGACAAGTCTATGTAAAATATTTTGCAAGGTTAGGGTGAACAATTCTTTGCTATCGAATTATTCAAACCTTTGTATGCTCATGGAAATATTAGTGAAATTCAAATTTGGTTTTTTTTATTTATAAATTGTCATTGTCTTTAGAAGTATGAAAATGAAATATTCAAATTTTATTACACATTTCACACAGAAATCTGATTATAGCCTTATTTATTTTTGGTATTTTGATAACCATACACTTATAATGGAATGTTCCACACTGAATGCAGGGTAAATCCATTACATACATTCGGTGGGGTTAAGGTAACTCAGGAGTAAACAAATAACATTATAACCAATGACAGTTTGTAAGTCCTCTTTGTGCACTTACTTGAATTTCTTTGTTTCAGCAATCTTAAGATCTAAAATATGACATTTCAATACCATGTAAGACTGTAAATAAATTGATCTCCGTGGCTTGAAATGGGGACACAAATTTATATAATTTATGTCAGGTAAAATATCCATAATCATTTATACCCATGGCATTTTTTTTTTAAATCTTCTGTAATTTTTGTTCTGAAATAGGGATCACACCTAAGTTGTAATACTCATTTATAATACTTATTGATTTTACTGACATAAATGCTCAAATAGAATTTCTGTTCAAATTTGCATTTCAAGTGTTGCTCTCTTTAACTTACATTTTAATCAATTTCTATATGATAATGATGACAAAGCAAATTTGACTGGCATGATCTATTCTGTAAAACTGTTTTTAAAAACCACTTGATCAAACCAGGCACTTGATTGCAATTTGAACTTGACACTACACAAACCAAACACTGTTTTTCCTTTTTCAACCACCAGTATGTCAATCAGACTGAAAATTGCATGTTATAATCATTAATGATTTATAGAAATATTAAAGCAGCAGGCCTTCAGATCCATGCTAATTTTCCTGATTTGTTTTCAAATGTCTAAAAAGAATAAAAAATGTATAAAAATTACACAAATAGGCCAGAACATGCAAAACAGCCCTTAAATATTGAATATTTCTATTTTAAAATTTGAGTACATTTTGCTAAAAATTGATTATTGTGGCTCATCAGGACGCATGCAGCTTTAATAATACTTAAATATAATATTTATATTTATTTAATTATTTAATGCTAAAATATAATGTGAAAATCATTGTTATATATACATGTACCTATTTATAATTAATTATTTAAAAAAAATTACTTTGTTCCATTTCTCTTTTAAATCTCATTACAAATTGTTTCTACAACAATGGCACTTTCTTATCATAGATCTTAACATTCTTTCTGCCTTATATGTATACTTTTTAAATCACTAACTTAAATTAGTCCAAACATTTCAAAGGAATGACTTTTTACCATATAATTATGGTGATATTTTCTATTGATAATGAAATTACTATCTTGACTACTACCTCACTGCAATAGCCTTAACATACTAAATATCTTCAATGGACTCTTCCATCATTAAATTTGGACAAAACCATTCATCATTTTTGGGGGGAAAGAAATGACAGCTGATCTTGGTATGCACTGGTTGCATATGCAGATTCTGATGATGCCAGCAAGGTAATGGCTACAATTTTGGTATAAATCTATTTTTGCATCAACTGTATAATTATGGTAAAACATTTCTTTATAAATTTATATTTATATTTAAAGAATAATATGTAATGTATTTCAATAAAGCAGGATGGACGTGCATGCAAAAAATCATCACCAATTTCAGATTATTTTTACCTGCTTAAAAAAATTCTACCTTTTTTAAAAAATTTTCTTTGAAATTCTTTCTTTTTTATAATCTTTCTTTTTAAAAGTGTGTTTTATAACATATATTGTTTAGAAGATACCATTGCAAAACATGAAATCTATCAAATCTTTTTGTGCATTTCAAATTTTTCTTGTACATTTCACTAGCTTATTTAATATAGCAAAATTCACCCTTCAAGTTGTACTGTACAGTAATGATAATTTGACTAACCATGGCAGAATAACAATAAAGAAAATAATTACCTTAAAGTAAATACACATATTTCTCATGTACACTTAATACAAATAATACTACCAAATTCCAACTACTTTAAATATGCTTTGCTCAGCAAAATAATATTAATTACAAAAATAAACCAAAAAATTCGGAAATATTTATAAAACTACTTTATTCTGTTTTTCTTTTTCTGTAATATTGATTCTACAATATATTAAGCAACATTTTTTTTTCAACTGTATTATTCTTTTTTATATATCAGACACTACTCTTAATTAATATTTATTCAACCATTTTTTAAAATTCTTTAAAAGATCAATACTACATGTATATATTCATTCATCATTAAGTCAATTACCTTTCTTTTTCTTTTTTATTTTGGAGAAAAATCCTGACATTTTTAGATATATTTCTTTAGCTGCCCAATAATCCTTTAACAGTCCAAAAAGTCAAACTAATGAAGTATTCAATGGAATAATTTAATGACCAACTTTTTATGAACTTAACCAATACGCCACTTCTAAAAATATTCAAACGTATCATAAATGCCACTCCATAACAACTTCGTAATATACAGTAAACACTGTCCAGCGATGAATACCTGTCAAAATTACCACATTACCACATGGTTTCGATAGTCAATGCAATGCCACTACAATTATGCCTCTACCATACTATGGTATTGATCAAAGGCAAAAAAAAAATCAAAGATTAGTTTAACCATTAAAAGTATTCAATCATATATATATAAAACATTATTTAAAAAGCTGACTGGCCCTTTCAATACCCGCGTATTTCCAATAATTGGTCAACTATGACCGAGTTGCGAAACCAACCAAACACAAGTAAATACATGCACACTCCAAAGTCAATAACTGTGTCATTTCTATTTCATACTGATTTAAATCCAAATCTCTTCAGGGTGGGTATTTTGTTGGTGGTATTATGACTGTGAGACATAAATTGGTAACGTTGATTTATACAAACAGAGATAAGAATATATACACATTTGACAAAATGAAAATGAAAGTAAAATGTAATTTTTAAAAGTTAAGCGGACTGTTCTTCTCCGGACGTTATTGATTAAGTTGCAATATAACAGATTAAACAGTTCTATATTAAGAATATGACCCACTCGTGGAAATTAACTAAATATTATTTTTATTTTTTAAGTGAAAAGTAAGAAAACAATTATTTGAAAGAAAGGATTGGTTTATGTGAAGAAACTGTCTTAATTAAAATGTTTAAAGCTAATTATACTATCTGCTGTTTGTAGCTTAAAAAAATATTGTTTGCAATTTGAAACAAAACAATTTCAAAATACTAGAATAAAAGAAATAACTATGTTTGTATATATCTCCTTAGTCAATGGATGGCATATGTACGTAATCATTGCTAAATGGTTGAAACTCTGTTTATAATAGCCACATAATATTTTGTTTGTTACATTCTGTTTATGTGTTTTAAATAAAATAGTGACACCTACTGTTACATATAACTGTATATAACAATAGGGAATCAAGTTCAATCAACCATAAGATTATGGGGACAGCATACGTATGACACCAGTCTGACGAAAATAAATTATAAGCATCTCAATATTATAACCTTAATATTTAAATTACCTAATTAACTAATGGACTCCTCTAAATTCGAAGCTGGACAAGTCAATTACACAGTTATACAGGGTAAATGTTTATATAGTCTGTCTAATGTACAATAGGAAATATGTGTAGGATATTAAAAACCCTAACAAATGCAGTACAGTATTATGTAAAATTGTTAAAGGGAGGAAATAACAGAATCACATCTTAATAATATTGACATGTTATCAAACCTTAGGCAACAGTCATATTAATTAACAATGTAGAGATCGATTAAAAAAGTATTTTCTTTTAAAAATATCTAAAATATGGTAGCAAACAACCACAATTTAAATTTACCACTGCTGTGCAATTTTATTTTCTTTCTTGTTATATTTTACACTTAACCTGCCGGACTCAAAAGTGATTAGCTTTTGCCATCAGTTACAAGTCAGGCAAGTCTGCACATACCTACTGTTTTGTAGCTCAATTTTGTATTTTGATAAAGAAATCCCTTAAACTTTAAATGGACTGCTCCAAGTTCAAAGCATGACAAATTCATTACAAAAATTCAGGAAGGTTAAGTGTGTTCAATTTAGCTTGATTACAGGATATCCAACTTATACTCTTCTTCTACCTGGACTTCCTGTAAAGCTGATGTCATATGACAAAATAATAGGCATGCCCTTTGCGGACTCAAACCTACAATTCCTTAATTCAATAACAAGTCAAAAAAATTTCTTTTTTATTTTTATTTTTTTTGAAAATATTGAAAAAAGAGACCATTTCAATTTGGAAATGGGGCCAATATGGCGTTAGGAAGAATGCCCTGAAGATAGCTGAGAGATATTGTAAAGCAATCTAAACTTGTTGAATTTCTACCCTGGGTTTATAAATGCATCTTACTATTAAATGATAAAAGGGGCAGAAATCTGAACACAATAGAAGCAGTAAAATCCTCTACTTTTTGCATGAAAAAAAAAACAACATCTTTTGTCTTAATTTCATTATGCCTTGAACCTTTTGGGTAGAAGCAGTAATGTAATGAACCAAAAGAAAACATACCAACCCAACTGACAAGGTTGTAACAAATTACATTTTTTTTAAAACAATCATAACAACATTTTCAACTACTTGGGGATATATTTTTATAAATAACAAATCTTATAGCTACTATTTACAATAACTACATGTACTAGAAAATCCTAACAAATGTGGCAGGGAGAATTACTTAATATCTACATAATAATCTATTCTAAATTTAGTAAGAGTGTCAAAGTTAATTATGTGAACCTTGAAAACAATTATTTTTCACATTTTGAATGTATATATACATGTATAAAGTCACTATGATTAAAGAAATCCATACGAAATGATAGTAATCCTTCTTTGTATGAAAATTAAATAACAAGACATAATTATCTAAATAACAGTTTAAAGAGTATAAATTTATATATCTTATGAAATATTTTCATAAAATTTATCAACAGAAATATTTTATTGGTTCCATAATCTTAATGTCAATTCTCGAAAAAGTTGTGACATAGAATGTCTCTGTTATCTAAAGTAATACACTGATTATTGTTTGTAAACAGAATAAAATGTTCCGGAACAAAATATTATTCTGCTATTAAAGTAGGGTTATGTTGGTTTAGCAATGATTTTGTGCATGGGCTTTTCCCTTTTAAGGCAATTTACTACCATATTTATTTCATACAAGCATTTTGGAAATATTCATTTTTTTAATTAAAACAACAATTTTTGCAGCATTTATAATATTTAAACACATTAATTGGGGTACATATAATAAATCAAATCTGTCACATGATAATTTTCACTGAGTGATAACATGACTTTAGGTTAATGATATATTTTCATTATACAATCCTCAACTAATACCACTAAAATTAAAGATCCTGTATGTTGTAATTAAGGTTGTTACCGCACTGAAGTGAAATCTTATATATTATCATTATGCTTCTAAAAAAAAAATTCAAACATTGAAGAATTTGTAAAATATTTACTGCAAATATTTGTGCAGATTATATGTAATTATTGAAATATATCCATTCATTTCTTATTAAAAAATTTGACTTAAGCAATATAGAAAATAAATTTCTAATTACCTCCCTTTCATTATTATGAAATGTAAATTTGGTAATATCTTTACAAATAATGCTTTTTTGAATTTACAATATTGATAAATCTTTATTTGAGCATTATATTTATGATATAAAACCATATAAAAATTGTGTTACAGGATCTTTAATAATATAGCTACATGTCACAGCACCTGGTGTAAAATTTGTTTATTAGAAAAAATAGTGCCATTAACAGATTGAATATAAAATTTTAGTATGAAACAATTCCATTACAGGTCCATGAGACCATGACCTCGTCCGTATTGAACATGTTATATCATTGGCGGCCAGTTAAAGTTAGAAATCTTATCTTATACAAAATATTGCTAAAATTGAAAACAAGCTATATGCCAAGAATTGAACTGTTTGCAAAAAAAGTTCACACTTCATGGTAGGAGTCAGACCCAAAATGGGGTAAAATTGACCCCTAATTCAGTGAACTTGACCATACAATTACTGAGACCTCTAGCTAAAGATATTGTATATATAGTTTTGAGGTTATTTACAAAATATCAAGCAAGGGTATTCCAAATATTGTAAAGGTCATATGGTAATTTCCACTTTTACTGCTGGAAAAAAGACCCAAGCAGCCCATCCATGCGTTATTTCAGATACAAGCTGGTGCAATAAATCTATATATAGCATACCTTCTGGAGTGTTCATTGGAGAATAAAATTCCCTCGTGTCCTCTATAGAATGCCTGTCAATACGACGAGAATGATGGGAATGATGGTACAGCAGCGGGTCACTTTCATCATCCGAGTGCTCAGCTGAAATAAAACAAAAATTGTAAAATTAAACTTAATACTACTTAAACAAAAAAATATTTTATTCAGAATCTATGTTGCAGTTATCTGTCTTTAACAGTGATCTTTATTCATAATCTCAAAGGTATGAGATTTAAAGTGAATACCTTTAGTGGTTGTCGAGATCTTACACATAATGATAACATAACTACAATGTACCAGCAGGAGGGTCTGTTTCATAAAGAATCATAGGGCCGATTTAAGTCTTAAGAACAAAACTGGGATAAAACTGTCATGACTATTTCTTGGGGTGTCTTATGTTTCAGACTAACGATTCTTTATGAAAAGCACCCCATAGTTTCAATTCAGTCAAAATCTATTCATGAGTTACAGGTCTTAAAAACTGGTCTCAATTGTTTTTCAGAGACATTTGTGAAGCTATGAATGAATACCTTCAATACTTTTGGAGAAGTTGCATGCAAACTTTACTGCAACCAGCAATTATATGTTCACAATGCCATAATTAAATAAAACCTCATGCTAAAATGATAGACTTTTAAATTTTCTACCTGAAAATCAATGCTAGAGTGCCTTTGACAGTGACCTACAATATTTATCCTGATGATATGTGTAACGTTTTTAGTGAATATTGAAACATTAAATTACAAACAAAACCTCAACCAAACAACACACTTTTGCCTAGACACAAATGAGTATGATACCCTCATTTAAAATCATTTTTATTATTAGTTATAAAGATTTTTGACCAGTTATAAGACCATACATGTATATAAATGTATTTTTGCAAATATAGCCGAGCCAATTGGCAAGGGTTATATTGCAAACAACCATTAATTCATGGCCATATAACCTGTAAGGAATATTTATAACCAAGAACTGATAATACTGCAAGCATACATGTTGTACTCTTTTTTAGAGAAAAAGTCATATTGCTTCATTAACTGACAGCAGCCGTGTATATAAAACAATATAGACATCACGATTATCCAATGAAAAGTGGCGTTACAAACATGCAGTATTATAATGTTTCTTATATGTTATTACCTCTATGCCGGACTCTCTTTTCTGTGGGTACAACTTTAAAATCGAGCATCCACGTTTCAATCCACGCCAATATAAAACATACTATAAGAACTATATAGCTAAGTGGATTCTTGCCACCTAATAATGAATCGTTGAACTGAAACGGAAACACAAATATACATTTACGTGCTTGTTTCATATAAAAGGGCAATAACTCTTACCCTGCTCGGACCAAAAGTGATAATCTAGAGCCAGGCCAACCTACACATCTGTGCAGTCTGACCAGGCTCTATACTGTTGGTCTTTTGTTACTGAAATTCCTTAAATTTGAAAGGACAGATCCAAATTCAAACAAAAACAAGTCTATTTAAGAAATTTACGTTATATTTTGGTTAGAAAAATAAATATTAAACTATATCACCTAAATTTTACATTAAGTGTATAAAGCTATATAAAAGCTGCAAAAAATAATTGTATGGAAAATATATGGCAGTAAATTGCCTTAAATGGGAATTGTACATGTAACATAATCATTGCTAAATGGATAAAAAACATAATCATTGCTAAATGGATAAAACACTACGTAAAATGACAGAATACTATTTTGTTCTAGGAACATTTTATTTTGTTAATGTAGTACTACAATATTCATGTTGAATAACAGACACATTTCATGTTACAACTCTTTCAAAAATCGACCTTAAGATTATTGAACCCATAAAATCTTACTCTTGATAAATCTTATAAAAATATTTCATAAGACATAACTTTATAATCTTTTAAGACTTGATTTATTTTTAATTTCTAACTGGCTATTTATAGTTTAAAGGACTTAATAATGAAAGCATACTGACATACTAAAGCTAATGAGTCAATAGTATATGTCTGCATGTACTGATAAGGATTAATACTGGCTGAATGGGCAAGTAATTATGACCCCTAGCATTTTACAGTCTCCACAAAAACAAACACAAATGTGACTTACCTCAAACAAAAAACATTTAAAAAGTAGATATATACAAGTCATGCTGGTTGATATCTGAAAATAAAGCAATGAATGGTACATAAATAATCAGGACAGTTTCTCCATAGAACCAAATTTCTAAATTTTACCAAAGTGGTGATTAACTTTTTTCCTAATTTAAATCAAACATTATTTTCCAAATAGCTGGGGGAAAAACGGATATTTAAATATGGTGTACTAAAAATTTCATGATTTAAAATCTAACAAAACTTTAAATCACTAAAACAAACTGTCAATGCACGATACAATGATTAATATTTTTTTTTATGTTTGATTTCAACACACTTTTGGTCATATATTAGCAGTAAGTCTACCTAAATGGCTTTTCTGGATAACTAACAAGTGAGTGATTACCAATTTCTCTGCAAGTGATCGACGACTAATTCAACATGTTTTTTGAATGAACAGAGAGAGACAAATATCCATTAGAATCAATTGTCATGGAAACATTTGGCCTTGTATGAGAATGGAACCAGCAACTTCTAGATTATAAACCCAATGCTCATCTTATTGAGCTTTCAGGACTGGCCTCAACAATGAAGAAAATAATATTTTTATGAATGTGATTACGATTAGATTACTGCATTACCAGTTATAAACAAAACAAAGATCTGCTAAATTTGCACATTATTAAAACTCTTAGCCTGCTTGCAGTAACTGATTTTGTAATAGTGGTTGAGTGGTTGACGCATTGGACTAGTTATCTAAAAATTGCTGGCCACTTGTGTTCAAACCCTGTCAGGGGCATGCCTTTGTTTACTTGAGCAAGACACTTTCCTTGCTCAGTACTGGTTGGTTCCAGGATTGGATCTGAGAGTGTTTCTATAAGCTAATAGGTTCCAACACAATCAAATTAGAGATAAATTTGTATAAAATAACTGATTCTACTCCTCCAACCAGTGCAGACCATGAAGATTAGCCAGTACATCTGTGATGTCTGATCATGGTCTGCACTGTTCACTATTCAATCATTACAAATTTTGAAAATTTCCCCTTAAACTGATGAATGGTTTTGTCTAGAATAAAAGGTGCCAACAAATAAAGTCCATTTATGATATTCAGCTAAGTTACGATTAAAGATCATTAATTTTACTTACTGCAATAACCCACCAATGGCTGATTCTGAATAAAGCATACGCCAGAATTATAAATGTAAATCGAGCTGTAGAAATCATCTGAAAAATAAATTTTCAAAATATATTCACATCTCCCATTGTTTTACTTTAGCCCTTTCTGCAAGTACAAGTACACATACTAACCCAAAGAATTATAAATTAGCAAAAAGTATTACTTTTCCTACTATTAAATTGTAATTAAGAGGTAAATATACAGTACAGAGTGGTCTAAAAGGTGATAATCTCACCCTAAATGAATAGACTTACTCCGGAATCATGAATATTTTTGGTGTTTCCCAGCTAATCCAGGGGTACAAACACTTTTACAGTTACAGCTTTGAAAACAAGCGCAACAGGTTGACTTACCTATTGTCACTGGGAGAGCATCTTGAAGCTAAAACGGTAACAATTTGTTTGTGCCGGGCATTAGCTTGGAAAAACCCATATAATTGCCGAGTTCTGGATAACATCTATTGTGGACCGCTTCGGGTCAATATTATTCAAATTAACAATATCAGTTTTCGTACAAAGTAAAAATATACTGACATTTGTTATATTTCACTTTTTTCACCTCCCATCTGTATTCAAAAGTTTATTTCTACTTAAGTTTTTAAATATGTTTTAAACAACAAAGGAAAGGACATACCACTGTGTCAAACAGAGATGCTTCAAATGTGTATTTATATACTTGGTCTTCAAACGCCTTCCATATTGGTGAAATACCTATTAACTGAAATAATCATCATTTTATTAGTCAAGGTGTTTCTTAAAAAAAGCATAAAACATGTATATTCAAATTATAACACAATGCATCAATATAAAGCATTTTTTGGTGGGAGGGCAATTTGGTTTTACCAACACTGCATAGGCTATGTGAAGACTTTCTAGTTTTACTGATGGAGCTCTATGCCCCTCCTTGCATAATTTCTAGCACTTTTGTAAACCACCAACATTACAGCAGCTACAAATATAGCTGGATAGCTTCATCACATGAAATTTATCACTACAAAAACCCGGCTGTGGTTTGATCCAACAGCAGTCAGGTGCAAGTGGTTAGAAGTCAGCAACTTAATTCAATCAGCAACATTGAGTCACACCTCAATTTTTCAACTATTCCATGATGCATAATCAGCATAATTTTGCCTTTTTTTAAGGATATAAAGCTATATTGGACTGGCTGTATTCTGTACAATATTTTTTTGTATCTAAATAAAATTAATTCCAAAGTACCTATACAAATGTATAATTTTTTAAGTACCTAAATAGTACCTTAACTATAACCCCTATGTAAAAGGGAATAATAAAATTTCTTTTTCTGTATCAAAATTTTCTCCAATTACCTGTGTATAAATGACCCATAGTATAAAGGTAAGAATTAGATCAAAAGTTGTAAAGAGACAGAATGTTCGACGCGCAGGTGACATCTTCGTTCCCTGGGGATCCCATTCTCGTGGCAGAGACTGTGACTGGCTTGAATCATTGGGAATACTGTAGTAACTGTAAATATAAGATATGCTAACATTACTATATGAAATATTAACAGTTGCATAATTATAAAAATAAATGAATTTTCAACATGTTTGTTTGATATTAACACATTTTTGGTAATATATTAACAGTTTGTATTAACCTCACTGACTCTCCTGGAGGACTAACCAGGATCCAAGGTTATACAGAGATTTTCTGAACTCAAACTTAGATTTCAGGCATCAGATTGGTCAGAAACTGGCACAGTTATGTACACTAGCCAATGAAAATTCTGATACTGTAGGACAAGCTCAGTTAAGGCGAGTAAATCGAGTAAATACCAATTTCTACAGAATTTATACTATCAAACAAGTTTAATGGATTATGCTAAAACAAATTGCATAAAAAGTAAGTGAAATTACAAATATCCAATTATTATTAGAGAAGTAAATATACTTATTACAATATTGAAAAGTATGTTAGAGTTGCACTAAACAAAGAAATTTCAATTGAATCATTATCATGAATTATAACAACTGATTATCCTGCATGGTTTGTCAGAATACATGTATACCTATTAGGAAAACAATGAATACACGAAGTATTTATAAAAAGTAATATATTTTTTGATAATCTGTCCATTTATTCAAAGATATTGATCTGCACCAGTCCTGTGCGCTAATATGTTACAGTTTTCCTATTTTTAGTTCTAGTGACCCCTAAAATAAGGCCAACTTATTTTTTTTTAGGACCTTCTTAAACTATATTAGTAATGATCCATCCATTACTTTTTAACTTTGCATATGATGAGGTTATTCTTTTTTAGTTCTTGTGTGGGCATTTTTTAAGCAAACAAAATAAGACCATACATGCAAAACTGCCATACATGCTGTATAAATTTCTCCTGCTGTACAGATGAGTATGATAATCTGAACTCCTATAATTATGCACAACAAGTTCATTACATAAATAAGTCAGGGGAAACTGTTTACATTACTTACTTGGTACCAGATGCTGATCTATCCATGGCTGACTGAGAATAGACCATGTCCCTCCTATCCTGAAATTCATTAATAAATCAATCATTATTTTCAATGTTTTGATAAATCTATCACAGAATTTGCACACACAAAACTTTTTCAAATAAGTAATCAACATATTTGAGGAGTTTTTTTATTTGATAAAATCTAAATTTTATTCTTAATCACTACATGTTTAACCCCAAACCTGGTGGAACTGTAAGTGTTAAGCCTGACAGTCCAATCAGTATAAATCCAGGCTACCCTGCACATCTATACAGTCTTACCAGGCTGACAGTATAATGTTAATTGTTAGATTAATTTTTGCTTTTTGATACTAAAACCCCTTAAACTTGGAATGAACTGTTCCAAGTTCAATGCAGGGCAAGTTCATTTACACAAATTCAGTAGGTTAAGGAATAGGATTAGTCAGATCAATGACTGTTTAAAAGGCTCGAACATCAATTTCAAAAACCTTTGCATGCCAGTCAGTAGGCTATAAATTAGTATAATAACTTCCATGTGTTACCAGTATCATGTCCAACTGTCTAACACAGTCTAATACAGTCTTAACAATATGTTAAACCATTCTGTTCAATTCAAGCATTTCACTAAAGATATCCCATAAAACAACAACATTTCCGAATGGACAAGTCTATTAAACAAATACTGCTATAGTGGTGTAACAGTGATGTAACAGTGATGTAACAGTGATGTAACAGTTTCATTCACTGGTATCTTAATCTTCATTGATAATTGTCAAGCTTTATCCTGCTAAATTTGTTTAATGAAAGTCTTTGCAAAGTCATACTAGTATTAAAATTCTTTAACCTTAACAGACTGGAACCAAAAATGGTTAGCCTTTACCTCCACTATGGAGGGAATATTACCAGCCTGCAAGTCGGTGCACTTCAACCAGGCCCTATACTGTTGATACCTCTATTTTTGCATTTTGATATTGAAATCACTTAAAATTCAAATGGACTATTATATTATAATATATATATTGTATGATATTGCATTCCTTACTCATTTATATAAGTTCAAACATGATGCTGCAGCTTTCAGCTCAGCTTATCTGACAAACCCTGTATTTAATTTCCTGTACTGGGATCCTACATGTTTACCGGACAATCAGTTTACCGGACAAAATCTATTCCTGTCAAATAAGGCTTTAACTTTGCTTCGATTAAAAAAATCATCCGGTCCTAATCGTACAAACACTTTCTATTTCAAAGTAAACAAGATATGTTTGTAAAACATGTATGCCCCCTATCAGCAGCCAATTAGTCATGTAATAAGGTTATTATGCATGACTTCTGACCCAGTGATCAAACAATTAATAAGCGTTATCAAGTATCTACTGGTCATGACCTTAACCTTTGACCCCTTGACCCAAAACTCAATAGGGGTCATCTGCTGGTCACGACCAATCATCATACAAAGTTTGAAGTTCCTATGCCTAAGCATTTTTAGTTAATTGATCGGAAACCGTTTTTACCTACAAGGTCAATGTGACCTTGACCTTTGACCCCTTGACCCCAAAATCAATAGGTCATCTGCTGGTCATGACCAATCACCATACCAAGTTTGAAGTTCCTAGGCCTAAGGGTTCTTTAGTTATTGATCTGAAACCGTTTTAACATACAAGGTCAATGTGACCTTGACCTTTGACCCCAAAATCAATAGGGGTTATCTGCTGGTCATGACCAATCACCATGCCAAGTTTGAAGTTCCTAGGCCGAAGCGTTCTTTAGTTATTGATCAGAAACCGTTTTTACTTACAATGTCAATGTGACCTTGACCTTTGACCCCTTGATCCCAAAATCAATAGGGGTAATCTGCTGGTCATGACAAATCACCATACCAAGTTTGAAGTTCCTTGGCCTAAGCGTTTTTAGTTAATTGATCGGAAACTCTTTTTACCTACAAGGTCAATGTGACCTTGACCTTTGACCCCTTGACCCCAAAATCAATAGGTCATCTGCTGGTCATGACCAATCACCATACCAAGTTTGAAGTTCCTAGGCCTAAGGGTTCTTTTAGTTATTGATTGGAAAGCATTTTTACCTACAAGGTCAATGTGACCTTGCCCTTTGACCCCTTAACCCCAATATCAATAGGGGTCATCTGCTGGTCATGTACCAATCACCATACTAAGTTTGAAGTTCCTAGGCCTAAGGGTTCTTTTAGTTATTGATCGGAAACCGTTTTTACCTAAGAGGTCAATGTGACCTTGACCTTTGACCCCTTGACCCCAAAATCAATAGGGGTCATCTACTGATCATGACCAATCACCATATCAAGTTTGAAGTCCCTAGGCCTAAGGGTTCTTTCGTTATTGATCGGAAACCGTTTTTACCTACAAGGTCAATGTGACCTTGACCTTTGACCCCTTGACCCCAAAATCAATAGGGGTCATCTACTGATCATAACCAATCACCATACCAAGTTTGAAGTTCCTAGGCCTAAGGGTTCTTTTGTTATTGATCAGAAACCGTTTTTACCCAAGAGGTCAATGTGACCTTGACCTTTGACCCCTTGACCCCAAAATCAATAGGGGTCATCTACTGATCATGACCAATCACCATACCAAGTTTGAAGTTCCTAGGCCTTAAAGTTCTTTAGTTATTGATCGGAAACCGTTTTTACCTACAAGGTCAATGTGACCTTGACCTTTGACCCCTTAACCCCAAAATCAATAGGGGTCATCTGCTGGTCATAACCAATCACCATACCAAGTTTGAAGTTCCTAGGCCTAAGGGTTCTTTTGTTATTGATCAGAAACCGTTTTTACCCAAGAGGTCATTGTGACCTTGACCTTTGACCCCTTGACCCCAAAATCAATAGGGGTCATCTACTGATCATGACCAATCACCATACCAAGTTTGAAGTTCCTAGGCCTTAAAGTTCTTTAGTTATTGATCGGAAACCGTTTTTTGCTTACAAGGTCAATGTGACCTTGACCTTTCACCCCTTGACCCAAAATCAATAGGGGTCATCTACTGATCATGACCAATCATCATACCAAGTTTGAAGTTCCTAGGCCTTAAGGTTCTTTAGTTATTGATCGGAAACCGTTTTTGCTTACAAGGTCAATGTGACCTTGACCTTTGACCCCTTGACCCCAAAATCAATAGGGGTCATCTACTGGTCATGACCAATCACCATACCAAGTTTGAAGTTCCTAGGCCTAAGGTTCTTTAGTTATCACTCGGAAACCATTTGGTCTACGGACCGACGGACCGACGGACCGACGGACCGACAAGTGCAAAGCAATATACCCCCTTTTCTTCGAAATGGGGGCATAATAACAACAAAACCACTCTCAGGTTAATTTTGTTGATTCAGTTCTTTATTTACTAACATGCCCTTATGTTAACTAGTTATTCCATGACCTGGTCATGCGGGGGAATAATCTGTTCTGCGCATTCCCGAATATTGAGGCCCTTAATGGGTTATTTTAGATAGGTTTTACTTTTAATTCTTCTCAACGTTATCTCAGGAGACAATCGTAACATATTTTAATGATAAAAAGTAATTTTAAATTTCGTTTAAACAATATCTCGTTGTTGTCTTTTACAAAGAAATGCAAATTAAAAAACATATACGGAAACGGGTTACGCCCATGGGAGGAAACTCTACATGGAATGTACAAAAAATAGACTTTATGGCTTTTGCAACATGCTACATGATGACCAAAAGGAAACTGTATGAGAAAGAACAGAATTACATTTGAATATCAAAATGTGTCATACGTTTAAGGATCATTTAAGGATCATGAAGAATCAATACGTTAATTGAGTTAATAGTGTTAATTTCAATTACACCCCTACATACATTGGCCTCTTCTTAACAAGCATGACTGCCGTGTCTATTTTAGTGACATACTGGGTTTTTCCAGCATCTTAACTTTGCCATTCAATAGTCGTAGTTTCCTTTCTTAGTTTCAATTTAAGACTTCAAAAAATTTTGAAACACAATGTCCGGTAAATTGAGTTGTTTACACGATTTTTCCCTCTTTTAAGGCCCTACTTTAAAGACACTTTTCTACGGTTAAATGTATAATTTTATGTTTGATAAAGAAATGCTTACGTATATTAAGAACTCACAATTATTTGGGTAAAATTTCATTCTTTTTTATTATTTTAAATAAAAGTTACAGCGAAAAAACATCATATTTTGTCCGGTAATATGTAGGATCCCAGTACATACGGAGATGTTGTAGTGATCCCACTGTTACAGAGATAGGCAAAAACTATAATAGAAGTAAGATAATTTTCGTATTTTTATTAGGTTTTTGTCATTGACACCAATATTGTAAGGGTCATATTATATTGACAATTTTAACCCAGCTTTTCATAAGGAGGAAAACCTTATTATATGGTTAGCTTCTCCAAGCATTATTTACAACAGCAGTCTGCACATTAATGTAGAACCACAACCTTTAATTATTCTATAAGCCCTCTTATTAAAAAACTTAAAGTTATACTATGCTCATCTTCGAGTAAAATATTTTGATCGAAGAAATGTATTAAAACCTATTAAATTCTTACTGAATATGTCTAATTTGAATAAAAAATGTATAAAACTATGCATTGGAAGTCACATTCTCTATTATAGAACAAGTAAAGTTAGTCTTTTCTTAAAAAAACTGCCAGTTTTTTTAACGACACTATATATTAATATTGTGACCACCTATAGTATGAAGTGTGTTAAACATGACATATCAACTTTGTGTTAAGTCAAAACATGTTTGTTTCATATTTACAAAGAGACAATGAAGCAATTATTAATATTTTCTGATATCAAATTTGAGCATAGTATATCTTTAAGTCTTATGTGGGAGTCGACCCCACAGTAAGAAAGGCAAATGATTCAAAATAAGCAACCTTGACCAGCTAGTCAGAAAGGGAACCTATCATACATATTATCACATGAGTACAAATATTATGCATAGTTTATCACATATAAGCAAATATTGTACCAATTTTCTAGTATGAATTAAATACACTTACTCTCTGCACACTTCTTTCAGGTTTGTTTGAAAATTTCATCCCTTATTTTAACATTCATTAAACATATATTTCCAAATTTCAAAATCTATATCAATTATCATTCACAAAATATAGCAAATATTCTTAATATCCATTCATGGTCATGTCACATATTATTTTACTATTAGCACATAGCTCTCTTTTCTTTTTTTAACAAAGAAATAGTATACACTTTAACATGTCAACAAGTTCATATATTGACATTAACACCAATAGTTACATAGTCAATCAGAGATAATGTCCAGCCAGATTATGACACTGTAGCTTACATCACTAGTAGATATAGATTCTTATACAAATTGTAACACACAATACATGTATTACATGTATTATTACATTCAGCTAAGTCAGTCGATACTTCTATGACAATGGAAACACTTGCTTAAGCAATTGAGACATATTAAAATGTTACAATTTAAAATCCCAGTGTCACCTTTTGCAACTTCAACCAAATTCAATCACCCCTCACTGATGAATGCCTGCTTTTTACCAACCAGACTTAAAATCCCATATCACCTTTTTTGAACAAAAACCAAATTCTATCACTCACTAGTTCTACCATTCAGAAACATTTTAATTTGTTACAGAAAAGTACTGAGCAGGCACTTTGATGAAAGAAATATTTTTTTTTTTTTTTTACAGATTCTTAATACTGGTTGATTGTATAAGTTAACATACAATATTCAAAATCCAATTAGGTCATGTCACATGCCTTCTAAAATAGCGCTAATAAAACACCAGCTTAAAACGACAGTTTATAGACAGATATTGCGCAATATTGTAATCCATTCATAAATCAGGCAATCTTGCCATCTTATTGTCCGAAGTCTTTACTTTCTATTTGTCCTTTCTAGCGATCTTATTGTAAATCTTACTTGTCTTACTTCCTACTTTGTAACTTAAAAGATAGGTACTGCATATTGCATTCTGATTAAACACAATAATAAGTAATCAAGTTGTTCTTCTGTAAGCTATTTATAACAATTAGTAAAATACACTAATCATATGATCCACCTATGTACTTAAGTATCACATTACATCTTTTTAAAATAGTAAGTACTAATGTATACAATGTGAAACCAGCAACTGTGTATATAAAATGTCCCTTATACATACTGCAGATTATGTATTATAATATGAGCCAAGTGTTAACGCAATACCAACATATCTCGACAACTATTCAGCAAGAAGTTGTGATGTTGCTGCAATCAATTTTTATCCGGTTTCAAAATTTTGTACTTGAAAATGAACATTATCAGTAATAATCAAATCAAGGGTAGTTAATAATGTTATCACGTAATAACAAATCCATCTTACATTATGAAATAGACAAAATGGGGAAAAAAAGATGAAATTAGCATATTATAATATTTTGAAATATTCTGTCTAGACTAAGAAATAAAAAGAAAAAGAAAAATACAAACATCTAAATGTTCACTTCCTTTTTGCAAAAGCTAAGGTTAAGCACATTACTACTGTTTGAAAACAAAAAATTACTACAGTAGGCTCTGAAACATGCAGTAAACCGGAAATGATAAACCTTTGCTACCAGTATAGGACCAGGCCGGCCTGCTCATCTGAGCCGTCTGCCCAGGATCTATATTCGTAGAAACTCAATTTTTTATATTTTTGTAATGAAAATCCCTGAACTTTGAATGGACTGTTCTAAAATCAATGCAGGGCATATCCATTACCCAAATTCATCAGATTTAGGGTTTACCATTAAGGATTGTACAAAAGGATGTATTTTACCACGAAAGATGATAATCAAATATACTCAGTATTCACATAGTAAAGTATCATATTATATTTTGTAAAAAGCAGCTATATGTTATGTGTTTTGTTGGGTTTTACTGCACACCAACACAATTTAGGTCATAAGGCCCCAAAAAAAACAGAAAAGATGACTTTGGTTAACCCGGATTTTACTTACCTAAAGCAACACCGGGGGTCAAAAGCACCTCACCTGCTGGAGCTAACAGATGCATAGACTCCAGATATTCAAACCTATTTAGTCACTTCTTATGATTATGCACGGCAATTCTAATTCCTCAACTTTTAAAGGCAACCCCACAAGGGGGAGCTATAGGTTAAATTGACAGTACATGTAACTTATAGGTGACCTGTAATTTGTAGATTTATATTATTATAACTGCCCTCTTTATCCCTACATCCATGATTAGATATCAACTGATATCCTCATTGTTTCTACATACAGAGCAAGCCCGCCATATCACATGAATATAACCTGATAAAAGATGTCACCTATGTTAAACAACAGGTACTTAATGTATTTGAGTAATTGCAAGATTTAAATCAAAAGTAATCAAATATCAGTTTATAAATGAAACTGATAGGGGGTAATATCATGTGCTATTTAAGTATTTAAACTTTCATGCCTGAATTTTGTCTATATTCATATCCTCGATGTTTGCTTCCGAGAGTAAAAAAATAATAATATATATTAATATTTTTTGTAACTTTGTAACTAGTTTAATAAAAAAATGTTCATTTCCTGCAAAAACTGTTCAAAATATCTATAAATTTTAACAATCATGTAAACTTTCAGTGAAAATGGGTAACCCACTTCAATTTGTTTTTATTAATGATATTATATAAAGATTATAAATTTCATTCAGTGTGTATACGTCCTGTTTTAAAAGTAGCATACATAACATCAACTACATGTATATTGTATTTCAATAAGCTGTGATCCCAATAAAAATTTTGAATATCCAGTTAAAACGCTGTCTGGCAAATACGGTTTATTACGCCAGCAGTTCTTTCTACGGAAGCAAACTCGGGCTTAAGTTTTGTGGAGGGCATGGAATAAGGAGTTAACTTAAATGCCTATTTAAAATTGTCTAGTCTGTCTCAATTGACAAAGCTATATGCTGAAATTCACCTAATGTTTATTTACTATAAATTTAGAGTTACAAAAATATTAAAATCAAGGCAGTTTAAAAGTTGTTATCTTGTCACTTATTTATGGTACTGTTACTTTATTTTGCGACTCTTTTACATAAAAATTATGTTCCATGGTAATGTATATGATCCATTTTAAAGCTGCATCCTTACAGATGAGCCAAGATATTTCAAGCAATCAACTTTAAGAAAAATGTAATTAGATTTTGGAGAAAAATAAAAATTCCACAATTCAAAAAATAAATCACATGTTACATGCAACTGATGATGGATTCTGCAGTATTTATTAACATATTTCTACAGTGTGACAAATGCAGTAATGGCTATTTTTGAAAAAAAAAATTACCTATTTTTGGAAATTTTCATAGATTTTAATTGACATTTGCAATGTGTAAATTACTTTAAAGATAAATACCCTCTAAATGCTTCTTTGAAGGTTCAGTTGTCATTAAGCCTCCTGTAATAAATTACTGCTACATGTACTCCCTAAAAGTTGAAACTTCTCTATAAAATACAATTTTAAACAAACTACCAACATCCCCTTACAAGTTATATGCATTACATCATATCCTAGCCAGACAATTAAAGTCCTGAGGACAATAACAAGTGCTGGTGAGGCAAAAAAGGTCTCGATTTCAGTCTCCCTACCTACAGGTACATGTATCCTTTATTAAATAGCCAAGCCTCGACTTTTTTCTGCCTTTCCACTTTCTTTATACTATGTATATATTCCTACATAACTACATTCATTTTGGAAGGAAGGAGGGGGTCTATGGTCTGACACCATAAACAGAACTTTTGTTTGTTTGGCCTGACATAATTCTCGTTTTCATTGATGACAAGATGCAGTACAATTTAACAATTGTTTTGACTAATTAAGCTGAGGGTTTTACCCATGGCAGAACAATAACATACTTTAGATATATTTCCTATTCTCATTGCATTGATTGGTTAAAACCACAAAAAGTGTCAATAACATCAATTGTTTTTTAAATGAGTTATAAAAATACCACAAAATTTCAAGGATACACTTATCCTAAGTTATCAACTCAATGAAAAATTAAATACATATTTACTTTGTTTATCAGAGTCTGAATATTTCGTTAGTCCCTAACTATAGAAAGTTCATCCTCAAGCATTCAAATCTGAGAAGATTCCTTTAATGTTCAATGAAATTAAAATTTAATATCTGTTCAGTTTAATCCTACAATAAAGGATAAACAAGCAGAGCGCAGTTATCACTGTCGCAATTTATTTTAAGCTTGAGTCTCAATGATAAAAAAAACAAGAGCCCGGTTTGAGCCGGGTGATGCTCCCCGAATAGGTTTTGGACACAGGAAAGTACACCTCTTGTAGTTTCAGAGTTATGTCTGTGGAAAAAGTTCAAAGTGCAATAATTCCAAAATTAGGCAAGGCAGAGTTACAGTTCTTTGCACTGAACTTCTAATCACTGTGATCTATCAACCTACAAAGTTTCTTGATGATATCTCTTATGATTTCCGAGTTATGTCTAGGACAATTCAAAAAGTAAAAATAAACAAAGGGCAATAACTCCAGAATTAGGCAAGGTAGAGTTATGATTATTGTGCACTGCACATCTACCCATTGAGATTTATCTACCTACAAAGTTTCATGTTGATATCTCTTATAGTTTTACAGCTATGTCCTGGACAAGATTTTTCTAAAAGGGGAGATTATTCAAAAATAAGGCTTAACAGAGTTATGGTTCTTTTGCACTGCACCTCTACTCAATGAGATCTATTTACCTACAATGTTTCATGTTGATATCTCTTATAGTTTTAGAGTTATGCCCCGGACGAGAATTTTCTATAAGGGGAGATAATTAAAAAACCAGGCAAAACAGAGTTATGGTTCTTTGACACTGCACTCCCCATCAATGCCCTCTACCACTGTATGAAGTTTCAACAAATTATATCCAAGGGTTTTAAAGTTATATTCCTGACAAAGTTCAATTTCAAAGTATTAAAATAAACAAAGGGCAATAACTCCAAAATTAGTACAAAAAGAGTTATTGTTCTTATGCACTGCACATCTACCCATTGAGATCTATTAACCAACAAAGTTTCATGTTGATATCTCTTATAGTTTTAGAGTTATGCCCCGGACAAGATTTTTTTTTAAGGGGAGATAATTCAAAAACCGGGCAAAATAGAGTTATGGTTCTTTGACACTGCACTCCCCCTTGATGCCCTCTACCACTGTATGAAGTTTAAACAAATTATCTCCAAGGGTTTTCAAGTTATGTTCCGGACAAAGTTCTAAGTATTAAAATTAACAAAGGGCAATAACTCCAAAATTAGGATGAAAAGAGTTATTGTTCTTGTGCACTGCACATCTACCCATTGAGATCTATTCACCTACAAAGTTTCATGTTGATATCTCTTATAGTTTTAGAGTTATGCCCCGGACAAGATTTTTCTATAAGGGGAGATAATTCAAAAACCGGGCAAAATAGAGTTATGGTTCTTTGACACTGCACTCCCCCTTGATGCCCTCTACCACTGTAT